ATACTTCGAAGAATTTAAATCAAATCCAATTTACGAATAATTCGTTGGGTAAATAGGAATTTATCTGAAATTAAACATGATTAAGAAAAATTCGTGAATAAAAGTAGATCATTCATCATTTAGTAATAAGAATAATAGTTCAAGATCTGAAACTCTAATTGCATCTCAAAGAACATTCCTTAAAATGTATGCCATTGTATTCGCGTATTGTGTAAAAAAATACTATATTATAAGAGCATTGAATAAAAAGTTATATCATTTTCAGGTTAGCAAAACCTCGCAATATATTATTTAACTGTTTAATCAGGTCGCCAGTAATAAAAAAAATCGTGATAAAAAAAATCTTGCGGAACTGTCAGATTTGACATTTCATACAACACATTAGTGTTGCAGAACCATCGATAGTTTGACTATCGATAGTTGAGTTAAACTATTCAAAATATCGATAGATTATCATAACTATGCACTTTGCTTTTACTATTGATAGTGGACTATTGATAGACAACACTACCCCATATTGTTACTAAAGATATAAGATGAAATATTAGGAATTATTCACGTACCTATTTAATTCATTAAATTCATATTGTAATCTCAGATTATATGTTTATGTTAAGAATAGGCTTGTAACATTAAGATTTATGTAAAATAGCTATATATAATGAGCAAAACACAGGCGGGGCCGGTTGTGATCAGTTGTGATAAAAGGACAAATGACGACATTGACTTTTACATAATTATAAACTAATTAAAATGCCACACATATCTGTATAATTCGTATCATTAATTTTGTATACACATTTAACGAATTAAATTCTTGTAGAAATAAAATATGAAGTGAAAACTCTTTGGTGCTTTTAGTATGAACTTCATGGAGGTTGAAATGTCAAAAAAAAAAATTAAAGTTGAGTTAGAATGTTGGCGATAAATTTATTTATACGGCCTTTGACAAGGTTGGCTGTGGAATGAGATCTGAACTCTGACATATAGAACTGGTAGATCGAGGAATTGAATGCTCGTTCGTGATGAGACGACTTAAATGTTTCATTATAAAAATACGTGTAGACAATGTCAAATATTATATATTTTACTACAAAAAAATATCAAAACCGGTTTTAATTATTATTAAGAATATATGTAGTTATTAAAAACATTATATTCTGTGACATCTTTGACTTATATTTTTTGTTTTGCCTCTACTTTGTCTATGGATTTAAGCACCATAAATAACTTATTATTTTTATGAACTTTAATCTAATTTCTGGAGAAACTAAATAGCCGTTTTTTACTTTTTTTTAAATTTCATATAATTATCAAAATGAATTGTCGTCTTGGTTCGTTTCCTGCGGTACGGTTGACCGACCTCAAATAACGTAGAGTTGCAAGCACCAAAAATATATTATACAACTGATTATGTCACTCGCATTGTCTGTCTAATAAATCTTACATTACATTATATTAATACACTGTCATGCTTTAATACAATTTCTTCAATTCTTTTTATATAAAAGCTTTCGGACGAAAGTATGTCTAGATATCGATTTTTAACTTTTTGATTCGTGCCTTATTTTATTTTAAATAAAAATCTGATATGTAACGTTGCCTTTTGAAATTGCATGTAAATATCTAATAAATTCATATTTTTTCCCGACTACGGCTAGATTTTAGACATTTTTAGATTAATCAATTTTCTAACATAAATTCATGTAAGTGTTTTCCTCTTTCACGCGATACCTTCTTTAAAGATTTCGAAGAAATTTCAGGAATGTAGGTAAGACATCAGAATAAGAGCTCTAAAATAATCAAATAGGTTACCATACTTTTTCTATATCACACTTTATACAATTGGCTCTGAGCTCAATTTGAAGGTCATACGGACTAAGGAAATGAGAAAAACTAATATACAATAAATATTCGTCTGTATTTAGTATTTATATATTTATCAAATTTAAAATATAAATCATAATTTTCACAATTATAGTATGTGTTCTCTAAAGGGCCTGTATTACAAGTGTGAGATGTTTAGCAAGCTGCCGTCGAAGTGAAATTCACGCTAAACGATTGGCACAACCGTAAACTTTCAGTTACTTAATCACTTACAGACACAGTAGTACTAATACACTGTTTTATTACCGTACTTAAGAACAAGTTTCATTATTAAAACCTCCATGGAGTTTGAATATGAATGTAAAAAACATTATGACTCATTTGACATTTATTATAAATAATGTCAGTGTGACATCATTCGGAAACTCAATATTTGCCTCAAATAAAAAAAAAAACGATTATATCTTTATTAATTACTATATTAGATACAAAAAACATCAATCTAAATATTATATTATTGCTCAATTGCAATAACATATATTTTAATTGATTTATATTTCTTAATATACACCACAGATAAAAAATAAAAGAGAATGTGTCTTAATTGTCATAATTATCAAACACTATCCGTAATTTTTTATTAATATTTTATATTTATAGCAGATATTGACCTATTATAAAAGTAATTCAATACTATGAGGTTTTATAACCAATAGCATACATTATAAGGTCGCAATGATAACGAGTGACATTGAAATAAGGACTATTTATATATACATGTATTTTATTACTGTTAGCCCTAATGACATTGACAGTATAGTGAAATGGTTGTTTTAGAAAAGTGTACTACAAAATTATAGGCGTGGTAACTAATATAGGTATGTATAATGAGATCTAAGTGGTTGCGAGTATTCATTTAAATGAAACTAATATTATTCGGATGTACTACGCGTATTTTATTATTTTTAAACCTAAATACTCTCGACGTTTAGGTTGTTTTAATGTAAGTATGTAGTTCTTTTAAGTAATATTAGTTTCATTTAAAGGCGTGATATGTTAAATTACATCATCACATACATAATTACTATAAAAATATAAATATTTACGTTTGACAAAACAAAAGTTACGAAAATTTCTTACATCATCGGCATACATTTTACGGAATGTTCACACAAAGACAAGAGAAACATGATTGATGTATTTAAAATAAAATGTGCGTATAAGAATATATATAGAGGTGGCACTTCACTTGGCGTTTATTTGCTGTTTTCGGTTAAATAAGACCATGTTTGGAAGTTTATTCGTCTTAATTTGATATATTTGCACAAATAACACACATACACAAATAAACGAAAATCATGCCAAGTGTGGACGTCGTGTTTGCACTATTTGGACAAATACGGCGAATACATTACGCGAATACGCAACCACGAGTTAAGTGCCACCTTAAGTCTTAAGATATTGCAAAAATATAATTCTAAATGTCAATTATCAAATATCATTTGACAGAAGTCATTTAGTTTCTTAATTACGTACTCAAATTATTAGTTATAAAAAAAAAGATATAAAAATCGGTTCCGCTTAATCAGAAACAGTTAAATTGCATTTGTTAATACCTCTTGCAACTTGTCTTCATTGTTTGAGATCATGGACTTAAATCATCACTCGATTCTAAACCTTATTTCATGTAAATAAGTCATAAAATGGTTTATCATATTTTTTCGTGAATCAATCAAAAAGTGCGTGCGAAAATCCGTTGAGAAACGCATGTTGAAACTGTTTGTATTGTTTTTTAAGTTCATGCTGTATATGGAAGGTTATTGTCTGTGATTTTGATACTAGAGCTATGGAAGGGAAATATTAAGAGCAATATGACAAAAAACAATTATCCCTTAGTATGAGTTTGCCTTGTTAACTGAAAACAGAAAGTATTATAGTTTTTCATCCTTATGTTGTTCATGAATATACTCAATATTTTTAAGCACACACTTAGCGTCATCTTCTTCTTCTACCTGTCAATTTCCCAACTTTAGCCAGGGTCTGCCTCACATGTTGTGAATAGTTTTGGCTAATTGTTTTTACGACCGGTCGCCTTCCTGACATCAACCCTCTTTGGGAACGCATTGATCAGTGATGTCTAAATACTCTTAGAAAGTACATATGACTCGGAAAATCACATTGGTACTTACGTGGGCCAGGATCGAAACCGCGCCCTCGGCAACGAGAGGCGGGCCCTCTAACCATTAGGCCACCACTGACTTAAGTTTGCCTCGTTAACTGAATACAGAAAGTATTAAAGTTTTCATTCATAAGTTGCTCACGAATTCACCCAATCTTTTAAGCCACACACTAAGCGTCATATTTCTGTATAAAACATATATCCTTGTAAAAATTATATCAGATTTATATTCTCTATTTGTAATACATTAATTATACTTAATAATCTATCTATATATACATAATTGTAAAAGGTAATTTTTTTTTTATGAATATCTTCTTTTGACATAACAGACACTGGAGATAAACCAAAAAGTTTTTATTCGAGTGACTTGGACCAAAAACTTTAACTACTGACTTGAATTCAATATTCCTTACTGATATATAGCTAGAAATGTAACTACAAGCTATATTAAAATATATTTTTTTATAATTAATCCGTGAATGTGAAGCCTATACTTCCTTAGTATCGCAATAAAATCGATATTTTTTTATAATATTACTACTAAAGGATTTTATCTCATATTATAATGCTGAACACATATTCTGACGTCACACAACAAATGGAATTTAAATGTATGATAATAGCAGTCTAAAATCGTTTCTAGCATAGTAACATCTGATTTCAAATGTCACCCCTGACCGGATTGAATTGACCTTCGTGTACGCTTACCAGACCATGTATCAAAGATATTTTAACATTCCACGTAACAATATAATATTATAGTATATTAAAATAATAATTATTTAAATATGGCAGAACGAAAAATTCCTTTGCCGATAAAATTTTTTGAAATTAAAAAAAAATTACGTCACTCAACTGACAACATTGAAAACACAAATATGTCAAGTAATTAAAAATGTCATTGTATTTTTATCCGTGTTAATTGTATATCGTATAAATAATAATAAAATAAACTTTTTATATCTGGTAACATCGAAAGTGAGAGCCGAAGATGCCGGAACAAGACGAGATGAGGACCGGTTCTGAACGAAAACGAATCTTTACGAAAATTACACAATAATAAATATTTATGGACAGGTGTATAGGAAAATATTTTCTTGCTTTTAAAAATCTTATAGAAGATAGGAGAAATTTTCTTTCTGGTTATATGTATAGTGATATTATTGTTATTTTTTATTATAATGTAAAGTCTGATGCTGAATCCAATTTTAAGAACATTAATAAATATTTATTTAATAAATGAAGAAAATACTGGAAGCATTAATTTATTAGTTCATTTTAGTAATCAATCAAAGCTTATTTTTTTTATTTATAATATTTACTTGTACAGATTATGTACAGTTATAGGTTTCAATAATAAATAAATTAGACAGTTGATTACCTCGAATAATTGACTGTTTTCATGATAAAATTCTTAATCTGATATCTAGGTGATTATAAGATTTTAAAGCACCAAAAAAAATCTAGGAATTTTTCATACAGATTATAAATAAAGAGAAATTTAAACATCTATATAATGTTTGTGAATCTGTACTCAATATCTGCCACTAACTGTACCGAGTCCTCAACACAAGGCCGTACAGACACGAACCAGTCCACAATCACGTTCATATGCATTTTATTTTATTGAGTCATTTTAATTAACAATTCAATTCGCTTAATATAGTATTTATTAATATTATTACAATACTAAATTGTCAGATACTTGAAAAATATTATTCATTCTATATAATTTCCTCTTTAATACACGGAATTACATCATTACATTAGCCAGTGGTGGTGCTAAAAGGCCCTCATGCATGAGGGCGCGGGTTCGATCCTGGCCTTGGCAAGTACCAATGTGATTTTTCCGAGTCATATGAACTTTCTAAGAGTATTTAGACATCACTGATTAATGCATTCCCAAAGAGGGTTGATGTCAGCCAGGCGGCCGGTCGTGAAAAATAGCCAAAACTATTCACAACATGTAAGGCAGACCCTGGCTAAAGCTGGGAAATTGTCAGGTCGAAGACACACATAATTATATGGTATACAGATTACTTTAAATTCTTCATAAGTATCAAAACATTATTATTTTAATATTATATATAAATCAATAATGTGCAATATAAAAATTTGCATGACAAAAATGTCGAATATTGACCTTTTGAACCTTTTGAATTTGGCAATCCATTCTATTGCGTAAAAGCTTAAGTGATAGACGTATCATTGTAAAAATATACATATAACTTTAATATATAATAAATCCTTTATATATTTATATATTATTTCACGTTTCTGAACGGAATTTGACAGTTTAAAAACTGACATATAAACAAAACCGTAAACCAATTTATAACATTTAAGTAAACCAATCATACCTGAACAATTTATTATTATAAATATATGTATATGTAAGTAAAAAAAAGTATATAATTTTCTTATCTGTTTCTATATATATATATATATCTTATAATAGTTATCTGTGTGTATGTATAGTGGACATTAAACGTCTGTGTAAGAACTTCATGCGTTCGCTGTTAGAGCGTTAATTGGAGCGCACTGTCGACATTTGATTTGCACATCGGAGTTGCGCCTGCGCATGCGATACGGGCGTTGATCTCAAAACATAATATACACTAAGAAAATATACTATTATCATACATTTAATCTATTATAAAGATTAACTTAATTATTTGAATCTAACCTTTTCATATTAATATGTTAATTAATTCTAAGAAAGGAAAATATTGAGGTGAAATGACGGAAGATATGATAATACTTGTTGATGAATAGTTTATGTAATAATTATAGTTCTATATGTGTTCACAGCGAGCCATGTTAATAGAAGGGGAATTAAAACTATCTAGACGTGAAACAGAGATAATGTAACTAGAAAATAGAATAAGCATTCTGTTGTAGAGAATACTAAAACGATATGGTTTTAGAAAGCATTTTACAATAATAAATATTGAGATTTAATTATTGTATTTTATATGTAGATTAATATCGTCAAATATATTTATAGAAGATACTTTATTGGAAGGAAAGGATGTCGTATTTGTATGAGTAGCAAATTGTAGAACTGGCCTAGAATATAATAATGTTTATGTGAAGTTTTGTACAAGTTATTGTAAAAATTACGTAGAATAATTGAGCAGCGTGGTTCAGTAGCAATAATTGCACAAATATCACGGATTTATGTACAGTAGAAATAAAACTAAATTAATGACCTTATTTTTTTAAAATATCGCTTCTATCAACCAATGAATGGATAAAATATATAAATAACGAGTAAATATAATATTATAGCGTTAAAATACCCGCGAATTTCATAAAATTAACACTTTAACACAGCTCGAGGTGTAAATATTGGTAATTTGTTGAAAAAATCGTCGAAATCTTTCTAAATAATTTGTTTATGACGACCGATCCGCTCGTGCGTACGGTAGAAAGTTAAGCGTTAATCCAGGATCCGTCTGCGTTACGCAAACGACCGGTCCTCTCGTTTATAACGATGGATGATGCAAACTTTGATTTTTTAAAACATCGCATTCCTTTCCTGGATGCCATAAATTAATTAGCTTGTAATAGACGTCAAATAAAAGCGTCGCTGGAGTATGACATTTGACAAGATAATTCCTCTGAAGATTATTTACTTTTATCCCTACTAAAATTATAAATGCGAAAGTAACTCTGTCTGTCTGTCTGTTACGCTTTCACGACTAAACCACTGAACTGATTTTAATGGAATTTGGTACAGATATAAAATTGACCTTGAGAAAGAACATAGGATAGTTTTTATCCCAGACTTTTGAAAGGTTCTCTTGGAAACGCGATATAACCGAACTCCACGCGGGCGAAGCTGCGGGCGAAAAGCTAGTTAATAATAAAAAGAATATATATTACGAATTGTAGTTGCAAATAGTAAGTTTATCAAAGAAAATTAATTTGGAAACAATTGAACAATTGTCATTTGTAATTAAATTGAGAATAAAATTCCTACGAAATAAATTTTATTATGATATATGACTATGAACGATCTATATCTATACATTATGTATATATTGCGTGCTGTTTGATAAGTTAGTATTAAGCAATACTTGTATTGGGTAACAGTCCTAGACGGTCTAACAGAATATGGGTTAGAAAAACTACCTATGAATAAACATATAACAGGTATAAACAAGATTTATATAGAGATATACCAATTAATATTAATATAATATTAAGCTCAAAGATTCTGACAAAATTATGTCATATGATTAAGATATTTTAATATCTCGTCTGTCCGTGATCACGGTTGCTGTAAAGTAACCGAAACGTCGGGAGTATGTAGTTTATAATCAAAAATAGGGCACGCGTTATGTATCCAAAAAATATTAATTTCATTTAAATGAATACTCGCGAAAGCCTTACTTAAGTTATTATAAAAAACATGAATATTGAAAATAAATAAAGAATAATTGTCATATAATATGAAAAATTTTATATTAATTATAGTTCCAATAAATGATTTTTATTATCAAATAGTTTGAGATGAATTGAACAATATAAATATCTATTTATCAGTCTATTTACGAAGGTACCGGCCGTGACATCTGGTCACTTCACGCCTCAGAACCATGACAAATAGACATTTCAATTAATTATTATATAAAAGATTACCGTAGGAAGAGTAACAGGTTCTTTGAAATAGATATTAATTACTATCATCATCATCAGCCTATCAGAGCCCACTGCTGAGCCTCTTCTCACATGGAGAAGATTTGAGCATTAATCACCACGCTTGCTCAAGACGGGTTGGGGATTTCGAACTTATAATTTAAAATTATAAGTCCAGATTTCCTTACGATGTTTTCCTTCATCAGTCAGTGGTGTCTAAATAATCTTAGAGAGTACATATGACTTGAAAAAATTACATTGGTACTATCCCTGTTAATAATTAGATAAGATTTGTAATGACACCATAAAATTTATAAAATAACCGCATATATGTATAACATTCAAATATGTATTTTCGAGACGCCAAATATTGATTAACTTTCCTTATAAGTAAACGAATTTTTGGTTTCCTGTCTTTATATTAGAGCCATGGTAAAAATATAAAATAAATTAATCATTATTAAACATTATCCCTATTAATATTATAAATGCGAAACTAACTCTGTCTGTCTGTTACGCTTTCACGCCTAAACCAATGAACTGATTTTAATGAAATTTGGTACAGAGATAGAGTTGACCTTGAGAAAGAACATAGGATAGTTTTTATGCCAGACTTGAAAAGTTCTCTTGGAAACGCGGTTTAACTGAACTCCACGCGGGCGAAGCTGCGGGTGGAAAGCTAGTTATAATATACAGGGTGACTGGTGAATTACTATCAATATTTAAGGAGCATACTCGGTACATGATTCTCATTCGAATTATGTAAAAAAAATAGGTACTTAATTTTTGACCAAATTTCCGTATAAATAAATAAAGTGTGTACACGTTCCAAGTGTTCCAAGTGTGGACGCGTGCGGAGGCGTGCTGATACAACAACACGCCGCCGCGCGCGTATGTGTGAGTGTGTGTGTATACCTAATCTGTAGGGTGTTCATACGATGCGTAATTAATTACACAACTTTTGGTTAACTTTACTTAGAAGTTTATTAATATTTATGTTATATTAATTTTTATTTTGTCATATATGATCGTCAAATATCACGTCCTCAAATATTGATAGTAATTCACCAGTCACCCTGTATAACAGGAATATAGCATCACGTTTCGTTTCTTTACAACTCTTATTTCTTATATAACAAATTTTCTCATAAAACGTATATAATTATAAAATAAGGAAATATCTTTTAAATATAGTGATTCACTCATGCAACTTATCTTTAAATATCTCAACATACTGGGTCAGTCATGTGATGTAAGTGTTCCTGATTGATTTTTCCTTTCCATTAATTGAGAAATTTAATTCCATAGATGGAAATAGAGCATCTGTATCAGGAGAAATTGCACGCTTATGGAAACTTAACTGACTGGTAAGGTGTTGGTTATATACCAGTTAAACATTACGTCTGGCCTACAGAACCATAAATGATCCAAGTAGTCCTTAGTACAAGTTGTCATCGACATACTACACAAATAACAGTTTTGAATTCGTAAATCTTCTATATTATAAACGTAGGTTATTGAATGAGGAACAGTGGTAACGACGTATTTTAGTGTGAAAATTCCAACTTTAACTAAGCATAATTAGATCTAAGACTTTCGCGAGTATTCATTTAAAAGATACTGCTATTTTTCGGACGTACTACGCGATTTTTAGTTTTATCAAAAACTACATACTCCCGACGTTTCGGTTACTGTAAAGTAACCGAACAGTAACCGTATTACAGTAACCGAAACGTCGGGAGTATAGAATTTTTGATAAAAATAAAAATCTCGTATTACATCCAAAATTTATTCATTTCTTTTAAACTAAGCATACATACATATTTGATATAGCTAGTAATTATTACAACATATATATCATTTATATAAAGTCACCTATATTTTTAACAAAATTTATATTCATATAACGAATGTCCCTACATAAGAACTATGCAGCCTAAATATATTATGAATGTCGGTCCATATATTATTAAACAAATGGTGGTACAGTTAGTTCCAATTGACAAAGTAACTGTGACTTCAAAATGAGATCGTTTGTTCTCTATGGTCACTTGGACGGGTTATTCAAATGTTACTTTTACATAATAAAATAAATACAATTATCCTACATATATTTTTAAAAAGGAGTTTTAAATATGGCTTTCATCCGTGCAAAGAAGTGTACAAATACTTTAAGACAAAATTTGTTATGAATGTCAGATTAATTTGACATCAGAACCACAAACAAGAAGATTACCTTTCAATTAATTTTTAATTAATAATTGTAATACATTTATCTTGTACATACATAGACAATATATTTTATTTTATTTGTTTCAGGAACTCACGACATGGTTGTCGTTATTAATCGCTGTCGTCACACTGGCAACACCGGGTAAGATAAAATATTTGTTTAAGAATACTTCGTATAATTAATAGAGGTAAAAGAAAATATAAATTTAAATTTAAGTCTAAAATATCTTATTGTGGTAGTCATACAATTAGTTATTTCAAGGATATCTTCCAGATTACATTTATAGTAAAAAATATACGAGTATATATTATAGAATAAGTAATTATTTTTCCTTTTCTGACCTTTTTGGAATAAGTACATCACGATAATATTCTTTCAGTGTCCAAGTAATCAGATTTCCCCGTAGAGCTATCGTAAATAAAATTGGAATTTACTATCTTCATATACATTGTTAAAACGTGTTACCCTACGTGTTTTATCTTTTTAATACATTATAAAATTTAATGTAAGACTTTGTTTAAAGTTACTGAGCATAAGAAACATGTAGATCAAATATTTATTATCGTTTTGATAGACTTCTTTTATTATAAACCTTATATAGTTTTCTGGTGTCTTGGTTCACTTCTTCTTTTTAGAACACCAATACAGTATTCCTACTTTAGCGTTCCTTAAAGAATCTTCTTATTTTTCCGAATTTTATTCGTATATTTTTTCTGACAGTAAATGGTAATGTCTTTCAGCTAGAGGCATCTTTACTTAATAAGATAACTAGCTCGCTTCATAAATGTAATTTAAAACATAATCTCCGTCTGCATTTTTGATAACACTTTTTTAATCCAGTTCAATATCATGCTAAAATCTATATATTTTCATGATATATTTCTAAAAACGAGCGCTATTTTAAGTTATCCTGTATTTATTATTCCTATATACCAACCTCTTTGGTATGAATGCAAATCACTGGCAGAATACAATGAATAAAAACTCAAACAAAACCTAGAGTCTAGATAGATAGGAAGAATGCAATAAATTAAAAAAAAACACACATCTATTATTCCGTATGTTCCATTATTCAATTGAAAGAATTCACTGTGCAACGTTTTAAGTGCATTGTCTAAAGCTAGCTACCATTGTTTGAGAGACAAAGAAAAATGTTTCAAATGTATCACCCTTTATGGAATCTGTAAAAATGCAGATAAGTTAGAGCATTGCCTTTATACTAAGCAGTGGGGAAGCACAGAGTATAAAATACATATGTAAACAAAAAAAAAAATTCTTTAAACAAAAAACCGTAAGATAACTTTTCTTTCTGTAATTTTTTTTTACTTAGTGTATAATTTTCGTTATTTACTTTTAATCAATAAAATATAATTTAATTAATATTTATTTCCGAGTGAATTTGTCAATGCAGCCTCTATTATTTATTTATCTGTACAAAGGCCAACGCTCTACCCGTACAATGCCTCATTGTATGAGATGCGTACAAAAACAGCAAAACCTTCTTACTTACCTTTTTGTTGTAATTAAAATTGAAAGTATTAAATATAAACAAAATTAATATTATTTTAATATTCATTTCATATTTAAGCTTTATTTTTCATATCTTAAGATATAAGCAAAAATATTTACTTTATAATTTCAATAACACTACTTTTCCTTGGAATTCTTGGCACTTTTTTTTTTGAATTCTGTCTCAAAGGAAATGGAGTTTCCAGTCTTACCATAAATAATTAAAGGAAGTCGCTTATAAGTAAACAGATAAATATATTATATTTGGAATGATATCACCAAATAATAGCTTTAAATAAAATGAAAGGGATTTTGTGTAACTTATGAGAAAAAGTGTTGGCATTTAATGAAAGTCGATTAAATAATTCAAATATTAAATCTAACAGAGATTTTTTTAATAAATATGTGTTCATTGTTTTTTGTTTTCGTTCATACAAAAACTTTCATAATTTATCTATGGTTACGGCTGTTAGTTATTTAAACCATGACGTTATTACCCTATAATACATACTATTTAATAATACAATACATTCTCTTTTTGATTTAATTAATTTTATTTTACATCTTTTGATTTTTTTTTTGAAGTCACATTTCTGTAAACTGTAGTTCAGAAACAAACAACATTTTATTAATTTTCGAAAAGAAAAAAAAGTACAGTATATTATATTATATTTAATAATATCTAAATACAATTTATTTCACTTATAAATATAACGATAGATTACTCCACAATAAAATCGTTCAGTGTTGATCAAAGATACCTACTTTATAGACGAAATTTTAAAAGAAGGATTAAAGAATGGCGGAATATAAAAAAAATAATAGATGTAAATCAAAAGAAGATATAACTAGATTATTATATTATTATGGGAATAATAAAATATTACTGGGTTCATTAAGGTTTTTATGCTCTAAATTAATAACACATCAATTGAGGTTAATTCATTTCATCGTTGCATAAAAAACTTTTGAAATATTTAAATTATTGATATACAATATCATTTTCAACTAATTGAAGTTTATTAATTAAAAAAAAACTACCAAAATTATAACGAAAATTCTTTTATCCACGGAAATATTATTACACATCAATTATTCAAGGTGAAATACGTTCAGGAAGTTAAATATTGAGGACTTTTTTTTAATAAACCAAAAAAAATCATTTACCAAATATAGTAAACAACTTAATATATTATAATTATTAATATTATTATATTTTTCAGTACAATCAGCATCACCACGAGTGGTTTGTTATTACACGAACTGGTCCGTATATCGCCCCGGTACTGCAAAGTTCAACCCTCAGAATATCAACCCCTATTTATGTACTCACTTGGTGTACGCGTTCGGAGGCTTCACTAAGGATAATACACTGAAACCCTTTGACAAATATCAGGATATAGAAAAAGGTATTTATATGGCAATACTAATATAATATTTGTATGCAAAAATATATTTAAATAAATTTTTATAAACAAAAAAATTAGTTAATATTAGCTAAAATTAATTATATTTAGGATGTGATTTAATTATTTTTCTTACAGTTATTAATTTATAACCATTTTACTATATATTTTATATATTTTAATCTGTCGAGTAAATCAAAAAATTATCTGTTCTGCTTGACTACATGTAAATATGTATGTACATATAATCAATTAAATAAATGTTTTATATCTCAAAATATAGATAATAACTTTTAATGTTAAACATAATTACATGTTAGAAATACTTAAATGTCAGTTTTATCTATAAAAACTTGCTACGTCATAATGTTATTTTGACATATAACATTACTAGCTCTCCGCCCGCAGCTTCGCCCGCATGGAGTTCGGTTATATAGCTTTTCCAAAAGAACCTTTCAAAAGTCTGAAATAAAAACTATCCTGTGTTCTTTCTCAAGGTCAACTCTATCTCTGTACCAAATTTCATTAAAATCAGCTCAGTGGTTTAGGCGTTAAAGCGTAACATACAGACAGAGTTACTTTCGCGTTTATAATATTAGTAGCAATGACGTCATATGTCAATTGACCGTTGATTTATTTTAAATATCAAACAGAGACCTCGACACACAACTGTATTTTAAACAACTTGTTATAATATTTTCTAAATATTATGTTGCTTCAAATAATTATAATTTTCCCGACGTTTGTAAATACAGGAAATTTTATAATTTCAATTAATTGCTTCAATACAAACACTAGAAATGTAATTCGATATATAATTATTGTAATTTTAAGTGCCTTTATAATCTCAACAGGCCAATATAATATACGTTTTTATATTTTGTTATTAAATAATTATAGAGAAGACTAGCTTTCCGCCCGCAGCTTCGCTCGCTTGGAGTTCGGTTATATCGCGTTACCAAGAGAACCTTTAAAAAGTCTGGAATAAAAACTATCCTATGTTCTTTCTCAAGGTCAACTCTATGTCTGTACCAAATTTCATTAAAATCAGTTTTGTGGTTTAGGCGTGAAAGCGTAACAGACAGACAGACAGTGTTACTTTCGCATTTATAATATTAGTAGGGATCAATTCAAGTTAAGTATGTAAATGTAAAGTTTTTGAGGCTAACATGTTTTTAATTATAGGTGGATATGCCAAGTTTAATGGTTTGAAGACGTATAACAAGAACCTCAAAACATTACTGGCAATCGGAGGCTGGAACGAGGGATCCTCTCGTTTCTCACCCATGGTCGCCGCTAAAGATCGTAGGAGAGAATTCGTGAGGAACGCCATTAAGGTAATCTTTAATTCCATCATAATTATAATTACTCAAACTCAAATAACTTTATTCAATATACTAATAGACACTACCACCGGTTCGGAAAAGATTATACCCTGACCTGAGAAGAACCGGCGAAAGAAAGAACTATCAGCTTGTATAGATTCATTGTTTTTTATCATAACAAAGAGGGCAAAAGACCAGACGGCCTATCTGAAGGAAGTAGAATCGTCACTCATGGATATTCGTAAAAGTATTTTGCGGATGCGTTGCCTTTCCTTTCATTGGCGAAAAGGGAAAGGAAAGAATGGGAAAAGGGAAAAGGTGGCATAAGGAAAAGGGCAAAATCCTTAAAAAATACAACGAAAGAATATGCGTATTTTTTATAATCATTGGTCGTTTTCTCAAAGTCCAAGCTCTATAAATTGAATTAAACTAATATATCAAAATTAAAAATATACTAAAAATTCAATATTTCTGAAAATCTTAAAGTAATCGATAGAGAGTATGGTGCATTTTATAACTCTCACATCTGTTACGTATATAATTTGTAAGCAACATTACCTTTTCCATGACCAAACAAATTATTAAAGACTGACGCTTTTAAAAATAGTGACTTTAAAGATAATTTTAAATAAAAATCTACGAAAAAAACAGTAAAGGACACATATAAAGTCCTTCAATTAGTTTTGTGATAGTTTATTACTAAATAAAATTATCTTGGCATTCCGCTTTTTAGCATTTTCCGTTGTAGTAGTTTAAAAGAAACTTGACGAATAAAATGCAAATGTTTTTTTAGAGAATCTTTACAATTTGTCAGCCATTTTCAAAATACATACAAATACAGTTCCGTCGTCGCAACTGATTGTATTATAGCTTTCATTCGAAGGTAATATCATTATGTTATTCGCCTCGGGTAACTTTGAGAGGCTATTTACACTTTCTCCTATCATTAAACGCTTTAGTTATCCGGATATCTGGTATACTCAGTGAATACTGTTTGACATTGCTATCATTTACTCCTTACGGTATAAACGTTTGCCATTTTATACCTATGATACGGAAATGATAAGTTTTAAGTATTTATTAAGTTATCGTGACAAATATAGATATCTTTGATTCATGAATATATAATGAGAGACGAAACCTCTCATCATTCCATGTATTCACGGTGCGTGTGTCGGGTCCATCGTTGTAGTGAGAGGAGCTTCAACAGTGACTGGGACTTGCGAACCAGGTGTAGGTTTAAGAGGACCCTATCTAACGTTAAACGCTCACCACCACTGTCCAAGCTCCTCTCTCTACCTAACCAAATTTGAAAAGAACCTACTAGGGTTACTAATACTACTAATTATTATACAAATATATATGTAAATAGTTTAAATATAATGTATCTCTTGTTATAGTTCTTAAGACAGAATCAGTTCGATGGATTGGATCTCGATTGGGAATACCCGGCCTTCAGAGACGGAGGGAAACCCAAGGACAGAGAGAACTACGCCAAACTGGTGAAGGAACTACGCCAGGAGTTTGAGAAAGAATCAGAAAAGACAGGCAAACCCAGGCTACTGCTCACTATGGCTGTCCCCGCGGGCATCGAATATATTGAAAAAGGATTTGACGTTAAGACTTTGACACGGTAAGACATTTTTTTTTTATATATATGGCCTTCATCCATGCAAAGACTTATTGTATTCTGCCAGTGTCGTGTAGAATGGAGGACACATAGTTTTCTTATATCTTGTACTTATTAAGAGTATTACAGTGGTATACCAGTCGTTATCCTATTATGTTTTAGTGTTTAAGCATTGTTATTTTAATATCGTTAGAATAACACAATAAAATTTGATTACAATCAAGTAAATACGTTCTGAAATTGTTTAATATTTTCATGAATAGATATTAAATAACAAATACGGGTTAGCAACTTCAAAATAGTCCTTTTAAACATTATTTAAAAAACTACTGTTATGTCAAATTTGACAATTCAAACTGTAAATAAAAATTCCGTACATTACCATAAGTTCCCACATACACTTACACTTTATTTCCCATTCAATAATCTATATCAATACTTTAATGAGTGAAGGTTTATGAATGAAAAAACCATCAACAAACTTGTGGCAAACTGTGTCAATTTCTGATTACAAACGTACGTATTTCTACAGTGAATGAGTGAAACATCTTCAAGATCACAGTATACATGTTGCATTGTCACTGCTTACTAAAGAGTGTTAATGAACCAGTATGTACTGTACTGTCACTCATTGCGTCAACACATGCGAATGTTACTACATTTTCTAATTCAATGTCAAATTTCCTAATAGAACTTGAAGGCGCGAGTTACGACTTGATTACATTAATGTACGACGCTCGAATGATTTGTAATCAATTTATTTAAATTAATACGTGCTGTAAATTTTGTATTTGATTCACATTACTATTATTGTGGATAAACTTACGTGTGTTTGTTTTTATCTTTAATATGGTATAATCTTAAATTTCGTTTAAATAGTAAAATAAATCTTATCAAGTTAACGGTAGGAAGTAGCGAAAATTTCAAAGGAATACTTTTGCAAAGTTATATATTTTAGTTGTATTTTAAGCGAAGACAAAATATAAGTCTATCCTGTACAAATAATCTTCTATCTTCTATATATATAAAAATGGATTGCTGTTCCTTAGTCTCGCTAAAACTCGAGAACGGCTGAACCGATTTGGCTAATTTTAGTCTTGAAATACTCCTGGAAGTCCAGGAAAGGTTTAAAATGTGAGAAAAATTGGAATAATTGCCGGGAAAACCCTAAAAACACCCTTTTCTATTTTCCATACAAACGTTTTTTTTGACATTAGATTTGACAACTAACTAATATGTCAGTCATTCTGTTTGATTGAAACAGGAAAAACCTGATTATTTATGGCCTCTAAGACGGAATAGAGTTTGCCTGGTCAGCTTCTTCTTCTACCTTACAATTTCCCAGCTATAGCCAGGGTCTGCCTTACATGTTTGTGAATAGTTTTACGACCGGCCGCCTGCCTGACATCAACCCTCTCTTTGGGAATCAACATAAATCAGTGATGTCTAAATACTCTTAGAAAGTACATATGACTCGGAAAAATCACATTGGTACTTGCCCGGACCAGGATCGAATCCGCGCCCTCCCCGAGAGGCGGGCCCTTTAACCACTAGGCCACCACTGCCCGGTCAGCTATACCTACATATATTACTCTTGACCAAACTAACGCGGACGAAGTCGCGGGCAAAAACTAGTTGTATATAACATTACAATATTTTTTTTATTACATGCACAGTTCATGACTTGTCATACGTATTGATGTCATGTAAGGGTTTGACTTGTAGTCAATGTTACCGTATTAAATAATTTATTCAAATAACTTTTTAATCCGCTGTTATATAAATAAACCTAATTACTTAAACAATCTAAAAATATTACTAATATAATTATCAGCAAAATTAAAAATTATTGACTGCCTATTTTTTAAAATGATAATCTGTTGATTGTTAAAACGCTTGTGCAATTAAAATGTGAAATAAAATTATATGTTGTAATTATAATTTTACTATATATTGTTAAAAAAAACCTAAGAAATCTATACGCCGCTAGCGTTGATTTACAATGAGTGCAATTATGTTAATACAATAATGCACAAGCAATTATATCAACGCGATTTAGGAACGGAGAGAACGTGTGCTTCCTTATGATGGTAGTTGGTATATCAGTACAATCACTCACTTACATATTCATTAAGAGATATTAAACTTCAACTTCTACTTCAGTACGAACTTCAACTTGAGTACGAACTTCAACTTCAGTACGAACTTATTCAGAGTTACAATGTTCATACAAATGAATTATAAAAGCTATATTTAATAGTCATAAAAAGAGTCTTATATAGTAATTAGTATATAAAAGACAGAATTTTATTCAATTAATACCGATTTTCCATAGTTTTTACATATATATGGAGATGGATTCTATCAGAATTCGCGAAATTTGTTTCTTATATTAAGTAAAAATGTACGCTTGCAAAAGTTTAATTTATAATTTTAATGTATGCATTAGTTATCCTTTGTGACGACAGAAGTTTGTTGCAATACATTTCAATAAAACAATGGCGAATGAGGCCAGGACGCACGGTGACCATGATGTGATCGATCATTAGGAGTGAGCCTTTACATATATAATGTGGTTCGGCTGTGTTAAATAATTCCAATTACTACTCTTACATATCTTAATACTTTCATAAATAACCTTCTCAATCACTCTAAGCTTTTATTGTATGTAATTATTAAACTAATTGTAAGTACGAAATGCTTCAAGCCATAAAATTGAATCGAAAACTCTGTCATGCTCTTTAAGAGTTTTGAACGCGGTATAACTGTATTTATTTTTCATTTCACACATGTAAAATTAATATAGAAAAAAACTGTACAATTATATTTTTTATACGATATATTAAGAAACACAGTGTATTATCAAAAATAAAAATTAAACATTCATATACGAGTATATAGGTATAATGTCATTTTTACTCCACTATTTAACTTGAAATAATCAATTAATTATTCTTGTGAATCCTTTCTTTGATATCTATGTAACGATATTAATAGAATACCAAATAATAATAGAGATATTTCAGAACATAATAATCTAAGTAATTTATCCCATTTGCATAAGATCTATGGTGTCACGAGTAGAAAATTATTTATATAATTAAATAATTTTCTACTTACATTTCGCTCTGTTTATTCCATTTCAGAACACACTACAATGAAGTTATTTGGGACATCTCGTCTTAATTTTGTAACTTGATTGTTATACAAATTGGACTAGGATATTGCAAAACAATGACAAATAAAATAGTATGATAATTACTTCCAGACCATTCGAAAGATTAGAGTAGAAGACTATTAGAGTAATTTAAATAGATTTTGAAATATAAAGACCATATAAAGTTAGCATTTATTAATGGAAAAGTTGAATTATAATTTTAAACAGGTTGATACTGGTTCGACGGCTTGTTAATTCGTTATTAAATAAGAAACTTTAACGTAGACGTGTAATTAAGATTTAGTGAGATCGTGAGACTTAGATGAAACTCTAGAATAGAAGTATCTTTCTTAGGAATTTATAGATTACTAATAGAATTTTATCTACAAGTACTAACTCTAGGCCGGAGCTTATAAGTCTTTCCTTTGGACTTCATAATAAAAAAATCTATTATAGCCACATACAAAATATCTATCTAACTTATTAATTCTAATATTTACTAAAACTTGTTCAGTATATTTTGTATAATATAACAAATACACATCGAAATATATATGATCGCTTTTAGCGCCAAATGGAACTGCGAGAATTCTTTCAAATTATATATGTAGTTATCACTTTTTCTCGTCAAATATTTAAAATTATGGGATATAGAAATAAATTGGTCTTAAAATTAAAGATGACGACATCTGAAAACATTGTTTCATTTACATTTACTTTATATTAAATTCAGTATAACTATATAAAGCTTGATATGATCTATATTTGGGGACTAGAGCTATAACAGAAACTGTTACATCCTTTAAAAATTTATAATAAACTAGCTGACACAGCAAACGTTGTTTTGCCATATAAAAAATAGGGGTCCCTGATAAAAAAGTAAAAAAAATGCGTTGTAATTATTTTTTAATGCTACAATATAAAGAAATAAATACAAAAAAAATCGTCCGAAAATAAAGAATAAATAAATTAAGGGTGAACAACTCGTATGACTTATGGGTAAGAAAAATAGATGTTGTCCGATTCTCAGACCTACTCAATATGCTCACAAAATTTCATCCAAATCGGTCCAGCCGTTTCGGAGGAGTTTTCTGCCTAACACCGCGAAATGAGAATTTTATATATAAGAAAAGATCTCTTTAATTACGTATACGAGGCCGATTGATTTTACATTCAACTCTATCGTGTAAGATGGAAATTCCTTTAGTAATAATACGTAATTGGTTCCAAAGATTGCGATAGTGGCTCAATAAACTTAATTTTGTATGAAATCCGAATAAAATTAGTTTCATTTAAATGAATACTCGCAAATGTCTTAGATCTCATTAATTTGGTATCAACGGTTTTATACTGAAAGTGTTTTTCGAGTTGTTAATAATGTAATAATATTAATGTACTATTATTATTACAGTTATTTGGACTGGATGAATCTTCTCACATACGACTACCACTCCGCATTTGAACCGGCAGTAAACCACCACGCGCCTCTCTACCCTCTAGAAGAACCCAATGAATACAGCGTTGATAACGAACTCAATATTGTAAGTATTCGTGAAATAAAACAGATTTTACGAATAAGAACAAATAATGAAGGCATAAGATCAGAAATAAATGGTTATTGATGATCTTTTTCTGTCATTACAGGACTACACGATCAAATTCTATCTCGAAAGTGGTGCGGATCCTGAGAAATTGGTTCTGGGTATACCGACGTATGGTCGTTCCTATACTCTGTTCAACCCTGATGCTGTGGAAATAGGCTCTCCCGCTGATGGACCCGGGGAGCAGGGAGAGGCGACGAGGGAAAAGGGATACTTGGCTTATTATGAGGTAGGCTGGATGTATACTAGATAGAAATAATTTTGTGCCTAGTGATAGATTTATATTAGATTAAAATAACGATTAAAGTCCATCTATGTTTAATATAATTGATTAATTTGAAATTCGCCAAGAACACAAAATGTATTTTTGATATTTAAAATTTCATTTACCTTCACTGTGTATTCTGAGAAAAAATCGTTTTGAAAACATTCTAAAATAAACGAAAATGTTACACTTTTCTGTCACATTAGATTTGCGAAGCGCAAATACAGAAGACAAAGAAACGCGCCATCGCGTCAGACGAAGACTCTGAAGAAGAATCAGAAGAAGAAGAGGAAGAAGAAGAAGAGAAATGGACCATCATGTATCCCAACCCTAACGCTATGGGCCCTGTAGCATTCAAAGGGAACCAGTGGGTTGGTTACGATGACGTGGAGATAGTTAAGAAGAAAGCGCATTATGTTGTAGAAAACGGTCTCGGAGGTAATAATCCAAGAAAATCAATTAAAACTATATTCCAAAAAATGTATTGGCTTCCATTAATATAAAAACTTTCAACTAAATATCCAATTTTACTTATAACAGCACTTTTTCTTTATTAAGCCAATTCTATTTCCTTCCAGGTATTATGTTCTGGTCTATAGACAATGATGATTTCCGAGGCGTGTGCAACGGGAAACCCTACCCGCTTATTGAAGCGGCTAAAGAGGCTTATCTCACTAAATTAGAGTTAGTATTATAATAACTAGTTACGTTTGTAGAGAGAGGATTTACATTCTTACATATTCTTTCATCATCTTTTACTTACTTTTGCTTTGAATGAACTCTTTTAAATTATTTACAACAAATTTAATGCATACCTAAATCTTAAGTTGGTAATTTTATTTCAACTAGTAAAATATGTAAAAAAAATCATTTGTTTTGCGACAGATCTTCTAAAAACTCAGTCAGCAGCTCGAAAGAAACTTCAAAAGCATCAAAACCATCAAGAAGTGGGAACCGAAGACGGAACCGGCCGAAAACTACATCAACCACTACTACTACTACTACTACTACTACTACAACTCCAAAACCACCAAAGTCAGTATAAACATATTAAAAATATCCCTAGCAAATATCATTAAGTTATACTTAATATTGATAAACATAAACCCTTACTAGAAACCATAAAACTATTATTTGGTCTATTTCGGTCCATAATCACTATTTCTATCGTCTCAAAGTTTTTCCATGGTAATATATTTATTTAAAATTATAAGGCATCTGTTATAAAATTATCAAAATTATATCATTGATGAAGTTAGGTTAGATTTGGGTTCAGAATGACATGATCATTCCATGCCCACTAAATGAAACAGTCAATGTTCTCAATAGGTTTGTTTCTTGGGTGAAATAACAATATACCCATTTAGATGAAACTAATATTTTCGGAATTTACTTCGCGTTTTTATTTTTGATTATAAACTACATAGTCCCGACGTATCGGCTACTTTTCAGCAACCGTGATCACGGGCAGACGAGTGACTTTTAAATGAGTACTTCCGAAAATCATACATCTCATTAACAATATACCCAATTTTCTACAGAAGCAACAAGCGTAAGTCAACTAGTTCAGTGAGTACTACACCAGCTTGGAACATCATCACACCAGAGCCTCCCACCACTCCTGATCCAGGATCTGGTAAGTCAGAAAAAATGGTTATTTATTATTAATCTTCTTCAGTTTATTACAGTTGTATTCATTTGGCCTACAATACAAGATTAATTTGACTTAATGTGATACCAAAAAATGTCTAAAAGTCTGTAGTTATAGAGGATTCTGTATAAAAATAAGAGTTTTGATAGTCATACTAATGTAATATTTTCATTTTAATATAATAGCTACAAAGATTTTTTAAATAACGATTTTGAAGTGACAAGTATAAAATAAAATTTATTTAAATGTACTATCATTTTATGGTGTCATTAGGAAATCCAACTTTTTGTACATGATCATATTTATTACTTTGCAGACTTCAAATGTACGGACGAGGGTTTCTTCCCCCATCCTCGTGATTGTAAGAAATATTTCTGGTGCCTCGACTCCGGACCCTCGGACCTTGGAATCGTTGCACACGCCTTCACATGCCCATCAGGTATATATACTTAAACAATATAACAAACAGGGTGACTACTTACATAGAAACTGAAATTTCTCTCAACATTAAAATATTCTTTTAGCCTGAAGTCCATACAAATATCTTTACAAAAAAAAAATGCCACCAATCATCCCCATTCAGTTTGGTACGAGTGAATACAGCCAATAATACATTTTTATTCCAAAAACAGGTCTATATTTCAACAAGGCCGCCGATTCCTGTGATTTCGCAAGAAACGTGCTCTGCAAGAAATCGTCGTCTACCACAAAAGCTACCACGAAAACCACAACAACGAAAACAACTCCCACGACCACAACGACGACCACGACCACCAGACGACCCGTCAGACTGACTTCAAGGAGCTCATTACTGTTCAGGACTTCAACTACTACTACTACAACTACACCAGAACCTGAGGTACGAAATGATATAGTTAAATTAAAATCCTATACTTTTATTTATTTATTTACTCTTTATTGCACACCAATAAAGACAAAAATAATTAATAGGAGTAAAACAAAAACAAAGAAAAGAAAAATGTACAATTGGCGGCCTTATCGCTAAAACAGCGATCTCTTCCAGGCAACCTTTGGTAGAGGAGAGAGATAGGATGGTAGGGGTGTACAAATTACTTAATACATAAAAAAAAATAGATACTATATGTATACGATACATAAATAAATATACCATAAATATATAATTTTAATTCATAGAAAAAAAAAAGGTTTACTAATATAAATGTGATTATAATGTTTTTTAAATATTCAGCTCAGTGAAGAAGATGAGGATGATGTCGATGACGCCAGTGACGTAGAAGCTGAAGACCCGAAGGTTATCAAGGAACTTATTGACCTTATAAAGAAAGTTGGTTAGTACATTGTATTCGACAACTTATTGCCTTTCTAATGTTATGTCATATGTAACAATTTATATCGTGAACCATAGATGCCTTTTCCCTATTCCCTCCATTTCCCTATTCCCACCCCTCCCTTTTCTCTCAAAAATCTAGGTTGGCAACGCATTCGTAACATCTATAATATGTTGCGGATGTCCATGGGTGACGGACACTACCGCCCATCAAGTAGGCCGTCTGCTCGTTTGCCACCTATGACATAAAAAAAATAGAAATCATACAATTATTTATGGACATTAAATTTGTAAGGTTTTCAAATCCTTGAAATTTTCCAGGTGGTGTTGAACAGCTGGAAAAGCAGCTTAAGCTATCAGAATCCTCAGGATCTACTGACGGCGTCGCCACCACCACGCCTTCATCATTCAACACTAAGCTGTATCAAAAAGTCCTGGAGCGAGCTCGGGGAAAGAACAAGTGAGCAAAATTTGATTTTTCATTAGACGCATTTTATTTGGTACTTTTAACAAAACAATCTACAAAACGGGGAAGTTAAAGTATTTTTATCCTTCATTCTGTAATTTTAGATTTTACTTTCTAGTTGTTTGTTCTTCATGCACTGTATTTAAACTAAAATGAATTTAAACCAAAATGTTAACTTTGTGATGACATCATACATGCAATCTGTTACTATTTCAGCATGAAGTGGTTGCCTGTAACTGAAGTAGCACATAGCATCTTAATTTAAATGGTTGTATTTGTGTATACTTTGTTGGCGATCCAATAAATAAATAAATACATATTATGTTATCAGAGATTCTAATACGCAATATTTTTAGGTTCGTCGGAAACAGCATTACTGAAAGCAGTGTGCAAAACAGTCGCCGTGGACCACAGAACGAAGGACTTGAACCAGCTGCTGATAAAGACCGCCTGTTGAGGAGAGATAGACCACAGTAAGTTGAACCCAAGACATCGCAACTTGAAGACAAACATATTTATTGTTCTTCTTCTACCTGGCAATTTCCCAGCTTTAGCCAGGGTCTGCTTACATGTTGTGAATAATTTTGGCTACTTGTTTCTACGACCGGCCGCCTGCCTGACATCAACCCTTTTTGGGAATGCATTAGTGATGTCTAAATACTCTTATAAAGTACATATGATTCGGAAAAATCAGATTGGTACTTGCCAGGGCTAGGATCGAACCCGCGTCCTCGTGCACGAGAAGCGGGCCTTTTAACCACTAGGTCACCACTGACTTAAACATAATAATTATTGTTATTTACATGAAAATGTCTATAATCTATTAAACTTGTAGGTATGTAACCATCAACCGGGCAAGGTCATCCACTACACCAGAATCTTTAGAAAGTGAGGAAGCTGATGATGAATCTGAGGAAATTCAGGAATCAGTTCAGGAACAACGATCAGAGGAACCATCAGCCAGGGTGGCGACTACTCCTAAACCTCTACAATACGTTAACATCAGACGATCAAGACCAACCACTGCTGCCACTGAAACACCCGATGAATCCAGGTTAGCAATGATCTTATTGTACTTCATGAGGTCTAAGATTTTCGCGATTACTCATTTATATGAAACTAATATTTTCGGATTTCACTTCGCGTTTTTTATTTTTGACTATAAACTACATACTCCCGACGTTTTGGCTACTTTACAGCAACCGTGATCACGGGCCGAGATCACTCACATCTCGTCTGCCCGATGTGAAATCCGGAAATATTAGTTTCACATTGTACTCATCACTAATTAATGGAACATTAGTTATATTAAAAAATTCCGTTAGCCTTTAAATGAAGAGAAACTATTTGGTTCAATCTTAATTTGTACCTCTTTCTTATTAGTTATTACTTATAATTATTTTCATTTTATGTTGGTATTAAAAACATTTGGTATATAGAATTTCATATTTACCACAACAAAGTTCATCAACTATTATTATGTAATTTTTTGTTTATTTCATTTTGAACTTGCTTAGAAAACCTCGTTTTAACATTAAAATTTTAAATTAAAAATATTTTTATACATTTTTCAGAAATGCTCTGTTTGAACGCGAATCAGCGGAATCAGAGGAACGTCTTTCTGCTGTTGATGATGCACAGCGCGTAGACCGTGGAGAATCCCGGCGGGAGACTCCTGAATACGTCACTATAAGACGTGGCAGACCCACCACTGAGGCTACCACACTACCGTGAGTATTAATGTCATGTCAATATACTCCATAATCCATATAGTATTATGTACATAGTTGTACGTATAATATGATATTCAATGATAATTGTACCTTACCTTACCTTACATCACGCGTCATACATTTGTACATTAATTTCTTTCTATTACAGATATCACAGGGCTGAAGAAAAAGAAGAATCTCAGGAAGTTGTTTTAGAGAAAGAGATCACATCTCAGTCTTCGTCACCGCAATATAACTCTATAGTCAGGACCCGATCAACTACACAGTCACCAGTCGAAGAGTTGACTAACCCAGCTCCAACTACGGTCCTTTCTGTTCAGATATCTTCATTATTGAATTCCCCAAGTTCCGAGGAAACCGCAAGCCCTCGAACAGATAGCACAACCGCTCATGTAACCGAAGCTTCTGAACCCGAAGTAACAACGACATCTACTACGGTTGTGACAACCACAACCACGCCAGTAACGACCACGACTACCACGCCCTTACCTTCTAGTACAACCACACGACGCAACCTGTTAAGACGACGGGGTTCCACAACACCGACCACACCAACCACGGCTGCTGCAACATCAACTACGCAGGTAAGTTCTAGGAACTATGCATTCATACGGCGACGTAGACCATTGTCCCAACCCAACGAAATATCTTCGGAATCTAACGAGTTAGTTGATAATGTAAGAAGGATTAGGTCCACCACTCCGGACAGTCGCGAGGTTGATGTTAGGTTTTCTGGCAATAGCGGACCAAATAGAAGATTTAGAAGCAGATTCCAAATATCCCGGAACGCTGATTCCATACCGGCTGCAGCATCTAGAGTGTCAGAAAAGGAGTTTAGATCATTACCCGATGAAGAATTATCATTAACAGCTATTGATGTTGATACTTCTGAAATACTGGACGACGATGAACTATTAGACAACAGTGATTTTATACGTGGCAGAGTTCCTACTACTCTGTCTGATCGAGTAGTAGATAGTGAAATGTCTGCTGCCACTATTGATGAAAGACGACCAAGTATTGTACCAAGAGGACGTACTAGATTTGCTTCAATCACCACAGAGTCTATTGCGAGAACTGTCTCAACCGAAGCTCCTCAAACACCCAAACGTCCAACATTTGGGAGGTTTACACCTCGCCCCTTTGCCAGAAATAGTGTGACAACAAAAACTACTGAAACTCCAAAGAGGGTAACTGATTCAATAAATCAAAGAATTCGTACTCGATTACCCTTCGGCAGATCTCGACCTGTTGTTTCAACATTAGCACCAGCATTACAAGCTCGAAAACTGCCATTTAACAATCAACAGTCCACGTCACAACCACTTTTAATATCTAATAATGAAGACGAAGATATTGACAATAAAAGCGATGATATTACATTATCCGAAAGTTCCATAGCAGAAAAAGAACATGATGCATCTTTGGAAGAGGAAGATTTAGAAAATCCAACAAAATCTCTCCCAGAAATAATTGACGATATTCCGCCTGCTGAATCCCAAAGTGATACAACTGCGAAAAGAAAATTCAAGGTGATAAGGAGGCGACCAACAACAGTCCCAAAAATTGAAACCACAACAATATCCCTTCCTGAAACTACTACACCCACCGTAACAAGGATCCGAAAAATTATAAGGAAGAAAATAAAACCGATTGAGGATGAATCTCCTGTTCCCTCAAAAAATATCGCCGTGGTTAATGCCGGCTTTAAAGATGTTCCAAAAGATTTAGTAAACTACGGTGAAAAAACTCGACCCACCACCGTTTCATTAAATACTGAAGAAATAAGAACCACTACAGAGTATGATGAAAGTGATATAGTGGAACCAATAACCGAAATTCTAAAAGAAAATGCATTCAATCCAGATATAATAGAAAAAGTAAATGAATCGGAAGATCAAGCCGTTTCTCAAAATATAAATAATGAAAATGATAAACCACAGGTTATTGTCGAAGACGAGAATAAATCACTCGATATTTCTGATAATAAAGAAGCGCCTTTAATCGAAACTGTCCTTGAATCTGTAAACAGTGACACAGAGTCCAATAAACAGTCTGCAGAACCGCAAATTGTTATATTAGAACAAGAGAAACAAGATAATGACTTAAATAAGGACACAATGAAAGAGGCCAATGGTAATGTGATTCCACAAAACAATGCAACACAGAATGTGGAAGAAACTCCGGCACCTGAAATAACTACAGAAGAAGTAATTATAGAAACCACTACAAAAACGAGCACAACTCAACTGACATCGCCTTCTCCAAAATCTAGATCACCCTACAAACCATCTAAAAAATTCACTCCATCTACTACAGCTATACCCTCAAGCAGTAGAACTTTTAGTCGTAAATATAACCCAGGTGCATACACTAGTCCTGCAACTGTTGAAAAACCGAGCTTGTTTAAACGACCAACCACAAAGAGACCCTTGTTTACGCGAACATTTACACGGAGAACTTTCCCTACAGCAAGAACAACTCCAAAACTTCAATATGATGACGAAGAGGAGTATTCTGACGAGGAAATTTTGGATGAAGAACCTGAAAGTCCTTACGTATTTGTACCACCAAGTAAATTATTTACTAGAAAACCAGAATCAGAAGAATATGATGACAACGAGGAGGTTGAAGACGAAATAATCAATGAAAATTCAGAGGAATTACCAGAAGAGGAAAACTATGAAGAGGAACAACCTGTACTATTTAGACCCACTTCTAAAAGGCCCCTATTTAGTTCTAAAGTCGTCAATTCTAATACATTTAGAACTACTAGTTCCACAACTCAAATTCCTAGACGTCCACTTGGAAGTAGTCAAACCAATGCCACTGTCTATAATAGATTTGCTGCTAATAAGCCAGTAAACGGTACTAAAAAACGTGTGCAGAACGTTCCCATAGGGTACGGGACACCGAAACCATCCCAAGCCATTGATTCCAAAAACACTGTTTCTGAAGCTCCAGAACGTACTGAAGTAGCAAACGCAACATCTACATCATCTGCTCCTGACAATGAATATACAACAACAGAAAGTGATGATTACCTTTCTATGTCAGAAGTTACTACTTCGGTTCCAACAGATAATGTAACTTCTCCCACCACCACAAATGATGTTGAAACAGAAACAACTATAAATTTAATGGAAATTAATAATAGTACGGACGATTATTTAGAAGACACGACTAGCCTACCGAATACACAAGACGGTTTGGATTCGCAAAAAGAAACTGAGTCTGAAATAGATTCCTTGAAAGACATCCAGACCACTAAAGCCCTCGAGACCATAACGGAATCCTCTTCTGTAATTACTACAAATGCTCCCCCAGTAACACCTGTTATAAAGACACAATTCGATAAGTTATTCTCTATCAGTAGAGTTGTCGAAGTATCGTCTAAATCTGAAAAACACCGTTTGAATAAAAATAACGAGACCACCCTTATTGAAGAAGGAGACGTTGTTGTGGAAAAGAAACCAACAGTTGATAAAATCGGTGAAGTGAGCAGATTCAGTCTTATAAAAATATTTGAAGATGAAATACCAATTTATTTAACAAAACTTGGACATGTGTATCCCGTTGATAACCCTCCGGATAATCCTATAAGGATAGACGAGGCGCGAAACGCAAGATCTCTGGTTGACTTTTCCGATATTCCCAAAGAAAATCTTGTCGCATCAGAAAGTATGAACGAAGGCTATAGACATATAAATAAATTAAATGATAATTCTAAATCTGATAATGGTAAAGTCGAGCATATAAAAGGCGATGACTTTCTGAGTTACATTAATGATGATAAGAAAATTGAGAAACGAAGGGATATTGAACCTGATAACCAGGAGTGGCAGTTCTTTCCAGCTGCTTACGAGAATGAGAAAGATAGACTCATTAAAAACGTAAAAACTTTAGAGGTAGTTACACCACGAATGTTAACAGATCAATACACCTTACCTTTAGAAGCTTTATTTAAAACTGAAACTCCTATTTTACAGCGAAAAATATATGACGATGAAAATGCTCCATTTGTTGTATATTCTGCTCCAGTTGAGACAGACAAAGAAACTAAAATTGTTAACGTAAAATTATCGAAACCTGAAACGGGCAAAAGTATAGTCACATTTGTTAAAGGACAGGAATTCAAAAGTGAACCTATACACGAGGAAACGACTGTAAAGTATCCGATCAGTATAAATATATTACAACAAACCGAAGCTCCCACTGAGGCTGTGGAAACTGAAACTACATTATCGAAAACTACACTCGCTCAGGTGACTACAACAGAAACAAAAGATATAAAAACTAGTCCCATCATGGAACTATTGACGACAATACAACCTCCAACGATGGAAGTAGTGACAACAGAGAAACGGGAGCCTTCCTCTACAGAGGTCCCTACCACAACAACTGAACAACCGACCTCAACAGAAAAACCACTAGAAGAATCCACTACACTCAAATATTCGCCTTTAGACGCAAAAAGATCGAAATTCCCACTACTAAGAAGACCTATCAAACCTGCAAACATAACCAAATTTAATCCATTGCCATTACAACGCTCGTTAAAGAAAATAAATACTACATTTGCTCCAAAAGCTGCACAGAAAATTAACAAAACTACCAGTTTCAGTCCGAGCAAGGCACGATTTTCGAATAGGTCTCAGAATGTTCCCATTGATATCAAAAGAAAGTCCACAACAATAAAAACCCGGTCTTACACTACTGAAACCCCGCGTTCAACAACACAGAGAAAGGTTTTCAAAAAACAAACGAGAACACGACCAACATTCGTGCCCAAGAAATTTACAGCTGTCCCAACCACGCTAGACGAATAATGTTTAAGTGATCGTCTTCAATATTCTATTTAATTTCTTATTATAACTCCTGTATATTAAGTTGGGTTGGTACAGTTGATAAGGAAATGAAATTGTGTAATATTTTCACTACGATTGTTATACTTTGAGGTACATGTACAAATATGTGGCTGTACAAAAAAGTAATGTTCTACAAATGTCACATAATAAATATTGGTAGTACGATCGTATTCAATATATTACATTTCATTGTAGGGTTTGTCTGTATATATAGATGTAAACAGATTCAGTGTAGTCATGTCATAGAGATTTATAGCTTTAATTTAGTTATTTATAGAAAGTTTTTTCTTACCAAAAATGTATATTTTATTGTAAGGCCGTTTTGGTGTGAAGACTTTCGAATATTGTCATGGATTATAATAAGACTAAAACTATTTAATAACTATTATTTACTAATATTATTTTTTTATCGTTACCATTTGTGTACACATCCGGCATAATGTGAAATATTATGTAACTTACAAAATAAATTTGTAATAAAATTATCATAAACATGATTTGGTTGTTTTGTAGCGACTCCAATGACGTAACAATTTTTTTGCGTACTCGTATGTAATTTGTTATATTATACTTTTCATATAAATAATTCATATTACTTTATATGAAAGTATAAAAAATTATAAGCATTATATTTAAAGTGTGTGTGGGATAAAACATTTTACTACTTGGACATTGGTTTTAAAATATTTTAGTAATTATCGTAGTAACTATCTTATATACACCAACATTATTAATTAAACATCATTAAGAGGTAATTATGATATTCCCAAGTTTCTCAATAATTAGCATTTCTTGTAAAATTACGTAGTTTCATTCAGACACTTCAAACAATACACGTTTTTTTACATTCAAATAATGACTGCTTTGTTAGGTTTCTTGCAGTATTTTCTCTTGTATCAACGAATCTAATATCAAATTTATTTCAAAAACCCTTGAAACTCAACATAATAAACAATATAATATTGATTAATTATCATATTTTATTATGTTAATTCAGAAAATAATATTATAGATATCTTTGATCACTTTTTACGTTATATATTACTAAGTTTAAAATTTGCTTTTACAATTATTATAAGTTGGAAAAAATGTTACCCTTACGAAAAAAGAATAACAAATTAATGTATTGCCAGGAATAATTATTTTTTTAATCCATAACAGTTCAAATTTAAGCAAATTTATTGTATACAAAATATTTAAATAGTTACAATTTGTTTCCAATTTATTTAGGATAGCAATGACCGACATTTTCGACTTTAGAATTGTCCCTTCTCTTAGCCTAATTTCAAATCGTAGATATTTTTGATTAACATAAATGTACGAAATAAAACATAATAATATTGACATATACATGAAAATAATATTTATTTAAAAAATATATTTCTGCAACTTGATTTTATATAAATAATATGGTTATCATTAACATCAAATTGTTATATTATGTCGTGATTCTTGTATGTTGCGTACTCAACATTACGCATGCTACAAGCGTCCGGTGAACGACGCATTAGTATAATGAAATCTCATATTACCATAATAAGAAAAACAGAATACAAATGTGGGACTGTGTATATTACAATGAATTATACATATGTTATGACTTATGTATTTGCCAATTTCGTAATATTTCGATTTTCTACCATTCTCTTAAAGGTTTTTGTATAAAATGATAAAAATCCGTTTTATGTTTTCATATTTTATTGATTTTTATACATCGTGAACGAGAAACACGATTGTAATACAAACAAAGAGTACAATTAAACGAATTCTATGATTGATTAGTCACAACGTTATAGAGAAATATGCAATACCATTAACAATTATATACCTAGGGTACAAAAAAACTTAAAATCCAACAGGTTTAGAAACAAATATATGATTTAGAATACATAAAAGTTTAGTTTTTAAGTAAGTTAAGATATTGAACATCAAGCTTCGAATATCGGAGAAATAAATTTTACAAATGTATCTTTAAAAAATAACTTAATTATAATTTCTATAAACTCGAATACGAAAAGTTTTCCAGTAGATAAGATATGGATGTCTCCTAGGTAATTTGCTAGATTCACTTTTTACTTAGATACTAGTATTGAGATGATTTTATCAATACTATTCAAATACACTCTGGTGTGATTTAATCAAATACAATATAAGATTAAAGTTATTATTGAATGAGGAATATGTTCTATCAATTTGTAAGGAATTGACATACTCTATTGATTTGTATTTATAAGAAATATATAGCTGTTAGTTATTTTAAATAAAGGGAAATATTTGTTACCTATTAAATGAAAGACAAAATACGCAGAAAATATTACCCATAAATATCTATATAAATGTTTAAAATCATTATAGAATTGTATTTCTATAATCTTGTAGCATCTTATTAGTATTATTGTTTTTAATATACGAGAATTTAACTCCTACTTCAGATAAAATACATATAATTATAGTGATTTTTCATCAATACGAATAGGAATCGAAACTAGTAGTATCAATATCTCGTTTGAGTTTCTATACCAACAAATCTATCGCACCCCGAATCGTGGGAGGCCTTTTATATATCTAAACTTTATATAAAGAATGTTTTGTATTTTAATTATAACGTTATTCATTATAATCGTATATTCGTGATGATTGCAATTTAATTCTCCATCATGTAGCATCTATGTTGAAACGCCATACCACCCACCCGATGACGAAATGTTTACCTTGAAAACTTCTGATAGCAAAAAAACATTGTACAACAATCATTCTTTGAAATAAGATAATTAATAATTTATATAGAATAACTGAAACTAGGATATCATTATATTAAATCATTTTATTTTAAACTTGATTAATCTTAAAACGTAAAATTCTATGTAGTTTATAGAATCAAATGTTTTAAATAACATTAATGAAAGAAGAATTCATAGATTAGGTATATATCTCTAAGTATTTTTAAACGAGAGGCATAGACTTTTTGACAATTATTAAAATCTAGTGTTGACAGCTGTCAAATATAAATTGGTATTTTCATACTGTCATTTATAAATTAAATTATTATGTTTATTTAATAATAAATTATTTAAGGTAGAGGGTGTAATAATTCAAACACACAGATAGATATGTTTTATTGTACAATTGTTGATATAAAGATTCTTCTTACGGGGGCGTTGTCAAAGCAAAATAAGTACATTACAAAAAAAGTATAAAGATTTTGAAGAGCTTCAATCCAAACAGTTGTTCTATCTGAAACAAGGCAAAAATATAATTATTATATCATGTATGAAAATTATTATTTTTCAAGCAAAATATGTTAAAATTGGTATTATATAACTGTTCTAATATTTTTCAATATGTACAACATAATGAAAGACTTTATAAATACGCCTTAATTAAGTTACTTTATGAATACATATGTTTAAACAACGTCAGAACTAAGATTATCAATTTTTATTCAATAACATATATAGCTTGTAACATTATATTATTATAAATGCGAAAGTAACTCTGTCTGTTAAGCTTTCACGCCTAAACCACTGAACTGATTTTAATAAAATTTGGTACAGACATAGAGTTGACCTTGAGAAAGAACATAGGATAGGTTTTATATATAGACTTTTCTAAGGTTCTCTTGGAAACGCGATATAACCCAACTCCACGCGGGCGAAGCTGCGGGCGGGAAGCTAGTAAATAATAATTAATATATTTTTACATATATAGTCTCAGCGTCCACCTCGTGTAATCAATACGTGTTTTCTCTCTAGCGAGTGTTTTCTAAACTCTCAAAGATCACGTCTCAGCATCCGAGGTGAAAACCGCTCTCTCCTTACTTATCTAACCGGTCCATTGTTACGTCACCCACTAATAATTACATTAATTATACAAGTATTTGTTTTATCATTTTTTAAGGGACGTCAATGGTACAAAATAATCAAAAAAATAATTGACCATAAATAATTCGATAAACTTATATGTTGATTAAAAATAATATTTACAAAGAAAAACCTCATCGTTACAAAGTTTGATGTACTTTGACAAATCCAGAATATACATATATATGATTATAGTTGAAAATAATAATATCAATACATATATATAGTATATAAAACAAACAGTATTACAACACACTATATTCATATAAACCTAATGCACCAATTATTTTCACGCACTGAATGTCATAATGGGACCTCGATATATTTTTTATGTGACAAGCAGCGGCTGATTCATGCGGACAGGGCGCGGGGCTTGCGTAATGGCCGCCATGAGAATAGCTATGGCGATGTAGGAAATTATATTACGATAATACATTCCTTATGCTACCTGCCTTAGTGCTGTAATGTTTGTGTAAACGTGTCTACAAATATTACATTAAATACTAAATCAAGGACCTTCCTGGTTTTTTATAATCTTTGTTTTATTAAAATTATAGTCAGTGGTGGCCAAGTGGTTAAAAGGCCTGCCTCTCAATCATGAGAGCGCGTGTTCGATCCTGGCAAGTACTAATGTCATTTTTCCGAGTCACATGTACTTTCTGAGAGTATTTAGACATCACTGACAGACGGTGAAGGAAACCTGGACTTATAGTTCCACAATTATAAGTTTGAAATCACCAACCCGTCTTGAGTAAGCGTGGTGATTATTTATCAAATCTTCTCCATGTGAGAAGAGTCCTTTGCTCAGCAGTGGGCTCTGATAGGCTGATGATGATTAAAACTTTCATACTTAGAAAAAGTCAAATTAATTCATTTTACCAATATTAAAATCTTAGTACATTATTTTATTATTTAACCGAAGCGAAATCTTTTAAGAGAGTACATATACCGAAATAATCATTTATTATATAAAACAATTTTTTATCTATTCTCAATGTAATCAAGTTAGATCATTAAAAATATACAACCACGTTACGTAAAGAAAATATTACATCGTAAAAACCAATATAGATGAAAGAAAGTTTTGGAGAAAGCTCATTAGTTTTCGCGTTATGAAACATACAAACACACATATGACAAAATCAAACATGTTTTGTAACCGGTGGACAGTAATCACCGGTTTTACATAATATTTGAATATATTTATCGTGTATTTTTAAAAAATCGTAAATAAAACGATTTTAAATTAATTTATAGTAACCGTGATTGTAGGCAAAAAAAATCTTTCTTAATATGATTTGTCTTTTCAAATTTATATAAACATAATTATATTATTACACATACAAACATACATATTAAGATTCACCATTTTCTTGTAGAATTAATATCTTTATTGCACACCAAATGGTGCAATCGATAAAACTACAAAAATAAATCGAGATCTAAGATTTTCGAGAGTACTCATTTAAATGAAACTAATATTTTCGGTTTTACTACGCGTAATTTTTATTTTCGTCGGGAGTTTGTAGTTTATAATCAAAAATAGAAAATCGAGTAGTTCCGATTTACTACTCGATTTTCTATTAGTTTCATTTAAATAAATTGTTTAAAATCAGAAATATATCAAAACTATTACTATACAATACTAGTGTACATTACACGTTTACCTCAAATATAAAAATTCATATGCAGTACATATCCTTTGCCAGCCGTACTATGAATGCTAATTTGATCAAACCGAGTCAAGGTCTATCTTTCGACACAATCGCGATCTATGTTTTGAATTAAGCAGGTTTAATCTCAGTTAACCGTAAATTAGAATATAATTACTGAGATAAAACGAATAAACCTCTCATTCTTCTACCTGGCACTTTTCCAGATTTGGCCAGGGTCTGCCTTACATGTTGTGAACAGTTTTGGCTAATTGTTTTTATGACCGGCCGCCTGCCTGACATCAATCCTCATTGGGATAATAGACCTTTCATTGATAGTATTAAAAGAACATATTACTATATTCATATATTTATATACTGGCTTTTGCCCGCGATTTTGTCCGCATAATTTGTTTTGTAATTAGCAATTAAGTTGACCAGACGATCTGTTACGATTTAGAGGCAGTAAATAAAAACTTTGGATTTTATGAGCAAAATTTTTTTTTGTCGAACTAATTCAAAAGTATCCTCTTTTCCCTTGTTCTAATCTATCTCTCCACAAATTTCCATCCAAACCCGTATAGTCGTTCTTGAGTTATAAATAGTGTAACTAACACGACTTTCTTTTATATATATTTATATATGTATATATGTGCGTAATCAGTGTTAGCACATATTTTTCATACTTTAGCAACTTTACCCTAACAAGATGTCGGGGTCGGTGTTCTCAAGGCCGTCTAGTTACAAAAACATTACGAGTACGTACAGGTCATAATAAGCATTGAATACTAATACACTTATAAGGATACACTTAGCAATGTACGCAAACCTCAAGTACTATGACACATATTAACTAATTTAGACTCGTTTGAATACAAAATAAGATATGTCAGTGGTGGCCTAGTGGTTAAAAGGCCCGCCTCTCATGCATGAGAGCCCGGGTTCGATCCTGGCAAGTACCAATATGATTTTTCCGAGTCATATGTACTTTCTAAGAGTATTTAGATATCACTGATTAATGCATTCCCAAAGAGGGTTGATGTCAGGCAGGCGGTCGGTCGTAAAAACAATTAGCCAAAACTATTCACAGCATGTAAGGCAGACCCTGGCTAAAGCTGGGATATTGCCAGGTAGAAGAAGACAAAATAAGATATAAAAATATTCAACATTTCGCGACTTAAAAAAATACTTTACAACTGAAACGTCTAGAGTATGTAGTCAAAATGCAGTAAAAACGAAAAATATTAGTTTTCTTCAATATAGAACGGTATAATTTCATATTCTTTTGTTTATATTATTACCCATATTATTATGAAAATCTTAGAACAATAAAACTATCATATAATATCATGTTAGTATATATTTGAATGGTTTAAATCGTTTTCCACTTCGAGTCTAAGACACTTCCTTACAAGACGAAGAGTCTCGATCACCTTGAGAACTACATTCCATATTTGTTTTGCGATTTTAGTTACGACCCACGCTGTACGACTGTTCTTAAAAAAACTACATATATATACATATCTATTATAATATTACTATGTTAATAGAATATAAACTAGCAGTATATACTAGAACTCTAAGGCTATGTATGTATACATATTATATACATATACAGGGTGACTGGTGAATTACTATCAATATTAAAGGAGAATACTCGGTACATGATTCTCATTCGAATTATGTAAAAAAAAATAGGTACTTAATATTTGACCAAATTTCCGTATAAATAAATAAATATATGGTACCTCTAAGAATATTACGTGTATGAATTTAGTGTAGAGGATTATTTTAATGTTACAAAAAAATCACAATTTTATTACTTATTTCAAGTGTTCATATTAAAAAAATGTATATATATATCTGTTTGTTCATAACTACACATTGAATGTTATCGCAACAAAAAACTCCATGAATATGTATTGAAAGTTATTTTATAATGATTACAAATAAATTCAAATAATCGTTTATTAATTCAAATTATATTGAACTTGATCATGAAATGTTATAAATCATAAAACATTATGTCATTTATATAAAAAATACGAATTATAGTATTAAACAGACAAAAAAAATTATATTCTGTGACGTAATTATGTAGATATTTTAAAATAACCGTTGAAAAGAGTTCTAATGTTCCTTTTTTAAATAATTTGTTCTGACCATAGACAATTGTCGTTAAAGCTATTAGGAGAGTAATCAGTAATGAGTTTAGGAAATTTTATGATAGCACCGATTAGTTGATATGATAAATGTATCGATAATAAAATACTTTTTAATTACTTTATTAATTTAATTAAAAAACGTGATGTTAAATCAACTTATAAGATTTCACCTGTCAATAAATCAAAAAATACATATTGCTTTTTTTATTGATCGTCAGATGTGAGCAGGCTAAGGTTTTATTCCATTCCGCCTGATCATGATGTAACACGATGATCTATAGTATACAGCCGATCTAAATTATTTTTTTTAATCTATAACGCAATGAGTAGTTTGATTTAAGTTTTAATTTCAATCTGGTTTACCTTGTTTAATGTTTGTAAGGCGTATGATATATAATTGTACTTGAATGAATCATCAAATATAATGTAAGGTGAGCCTACACAATACCAAGGCTTCTGTAAGAAAATAATCAATGTTTCTATAATGGACACTCGTAACATTAGAATTTAATACGAAAATACGTTAACTTTACACATTTTAACACAGTTTTCTCTAACTGCTTAATTTTTAAAAGCGATATTTTAATTTATATAGGTAATGTAAAAAATAAGTAAAGTATCTTTAAAAGGCGAAAAACAAAACATCGCGTAACAAGTAATTAAATTAAAGAACAATAATCATATCTAAGATTTCTAACAATAATTATTCTAAGTTTTTGCTGATAAATCGCTTTTTTTTTAATTTTAAACTACATAATCCCGACGCTTCGATTTCTTTACAGGAACCGTGATTACAAGTAGAAGAGATGGAGGAAAATAATACAAAAAACTTACTTTCATTTAAATAATGCCGATAAAATATTAGATAAGTTTAAAATGTCTTATAAACTAAACATTAGATGGTTGCACATACCACGGTCGTGTTTAATGTATAATTTAACCGCAAAACAGACCGCAAACCTCGGATATTATAATGTAATGTATAAATATATGTACTTATATAATATTTTATACATTATACATGAAATACAAAACATTAACCTTTCTAATATTCAATTATTATAACTCTATGACACCTGAATCTGATATAATATATATAAAAAACAAATAACTTAGTGATTTATTATGATAAAATAAAGTTTACTAACCAAATATTTGTCAACAGGCTGCCAAAGAGCGCCGTACGTTCCTGCGTCGCACTAAAGCCACGGCGCCGCCGGATACAGCAGGAGAGGTTACAAACACACAGACAACAACCAGCAAATATACAAGACGAGGCGAGAACAAATTCAAGACACAAAAAACGGAAAAAGTCGAGAAATCGCGGGAAAGTAATAACACAGAGAGTCGGCCATCTTTGAACGGCACCGCGGCGAGCAATGACAAGCCCAACCGCAACTTTGTTCGCAGGCGCTTTGGAGGGGCGAACAGTGAGTCCGGTTCATAATAATGCGATTTTAATGCAAGCGATTTTAGCACATAAATATACGCTTTATTATGCACAACTGATCATAATTGCGTGCATTAATTATGTTTAGATATAGTTATTATTAGTATACATAAATACGTTGTAGATTCACATAGTTTCTTATAGCTTGCTAAGTCGCTATAATAACATTGTTTTATTATCTCCATCTTTTGAAGTTATAATGTTTATATATTTATCACCTAACTGTCTCAACATTGTGATCTATGAATAACCTATGAAAGGAAAATTGAAACAGCAAGGTGTGGTTCCACTCAATTATAAATATGCTCTAAACTGGGACATTTCGAAATAATCTTACATGAAATCGGAATTACTCTAGAATTTAGATTAAAGTCATATTTATTTTTAACATTTTCTAAGTATTATTGACATTTGACAGCCATGTTATTGTAACAGATAAAAAAACATATATTTGAGTATATAATTATTTTTTAAATGTCATCGTTTATTGATCCGCTTCCGACGCCTTTGTGATGCAGAACCGGTTGTAATATCTAATACATAAGGTCGTACTACGTACATATGACCGTGACAATGTTGACAATACTCATTATTATATCAAGCGAATATAGTCTTTTGCACCTCGTCATAATATATATTATTGTGTGAATTAATTTATTCATGCAAGAATCATAAAATACTTCAGTAGCCTCAGTAAAGGCCGCACGGAACCTGTTCGATGAACTGGTACAGATTGTCTCTCAATGATTTTCTATTTAAGATTTTCACTCGGATATGCGTAGAGTATTGAGAATTTCTTAACATTTACCATATTAATATTATTATTAAACTAATAATATATAGTAACTAAAATTCCATTTTCTTTAAATATATGAAAAAAAACTTTCTATATGTTTTTGTTACAAAGGGCCAGCAATGAGTAAAATTTCAAATAGTGCGATATTACGGTACTTTAGACGTTTAGGATAAAATAAATTTTATAAAAATAAATCTCAAAGTATATCTTATATATCTATACATTTTTTAAAAATTCTCCATGTTAAAAATTATGAAATAATTACATTACATTAGTTCGTCTAATCAAAAATATTATTCATAAACGCTTACATATTCCTTGTATTTCAAAAATCTTTTACATTAGGTAATATTAATTAAAATAATCAATTAAATTTAGTTTTATACTAATTGCGGATGTTCTACTTACAAAAACTATCACATTATAGCACCAATTAGCAAAACATGATATTTCATAAAAGACATTAAAGTAGACATTAATGACAACTATAATTTTGGGAAATGGCGCTTGAAATGTTAATTAATTAAAGGAAACAGGAAAAATTAGATTAATTTTTTCAATATTGTCATTTTGTCTGTGTCATACTTAAAATTAAAAAAAAAAACATTATTCTACTAGTCTATGGTGTCATTTTAGAGATGACTGGATATTTTTTGTATGTATAGTATATTGAGATTTGAGTTTAAGAAAGTTTTTAAAAATCTTACGTCTCAATAATATAATTAGGTATATTTTAAAGAAAACGAATTGGAATACGAAGGAAACAAGTAATTTTTTATATCCACAATTAAATCTTATTTTTATCTTTTTAACTCGCTCGTTAGCTAGACGAGTTTTTAAATAATGATAAGCCATTTATCGAAAATATTCTTTTACTTTACGTTCGTCATCAGCCTATCAACGCCCACTGCTGAGCAAGGCTTCTTTCTCACATGGAGAAGGTTTGAGCATTAATCACCACGCTTGCTCAAGACGGGTTGGTGATTTCAAACTTATAATTATGAAACTATAAGTCCAGGTTTCCTCACGATGTTTTCCTTCACCGTATGTCAGTGATGTCTAAATACTATCAGAAAGTACATATGACTCCGAAAAATTACATTGGTACTTGCCAGGCTTGAACCCGCGCCCTCGGCAACGAGAGGCGGACCCTTTAACCACTAGGCCACCACTGACTTACTTTACCTTATTTCCCTCAAATGTCTATTCAAATATTTCGCCAAGATTAATCTTACGAAGTAAACCAAATGTATTTACCATTTTTTTACTTCTTAATATTAACTAGCTTGTATATAAAGTTATATATATATTACCGTATTGACCAAAATAACTTCTTTGCCAGTCAGTTAAAAAGTCTAAGGAGGTTATTTGTCAAGAATATTTTATTCCTAATATCAATATACATTCTTAGTGTGTCTAGTAATATATAATTATTAACAAATTTCCAATACCATCCAGATTTCAGAGTATTAAAGGAACTGTGAGCAAATAAATTTGAAATACATTACAAGTATATAATGCAACACGACGTTATAGAAAACATTCTCACGCGAAATATATATTTTGAAATTGTTACACATTCAATGGAAACTAACCATGATATCAAAGGTTTTATAGAAAATCGTGCAAATCTAAATTGGTTTCTTTACTTATATGTCGTTTAAATATTGCGAAACTAATGGATTTGTTACGTCATGCTTTTGTCATGTGTGTCATGACATTGGAATTCCTGAATTTAGATACATGACAACTATGATTATAATCTGATTATACGCATATGCCGTGTCACTTTGAATTAAATCACCAATCAATTAATAATAAAGACATTATATTTTTAACATGTCCATTTTTACCTTTCAATGTCAACTTTATTTTTGACATTTCTTGCAGACTAAATAATGTCAATAATATTTATAGTTTTTACGGATAAAGTATAAACGTTTATGTTCACATTCAAAATGATATTTTTTATATAAAAAGTTAATTAGTTTCAAAATAGCATATGCCGTAGCACAATTTGCAAATCTTATTTATTGAATATATAAAACTTTGAAGATTTCTACACTTCACAAGTTATTATAACGAAAGTAATTATTGAATATAGACCATGACATTTGACAGCTCTATCCTCTTTCTGTCAATTTCCCAGCTTTAGCCAGGCTCTGCCTTACATGTTGTGAATAGTTTATGCTAATAGTTTTTAAATCCACAAATCTTAAATGAATTTGTTGTACTAACATATATATGCAAATTATTAATTTATCTAAAATTATTGGTGTAATATTAGTTTCGCCAAAATACATTATAAAATGCTTCTATTTCACAAGTGGGTATATAATGTTTGGTTAATATCACCCGATAATATTTCGTTCCTCGTAATCGTGAATACATTTCTGAAACATTCACTTTCACCAGCTATCCATAAAGAAGACGGTTTAAAAGATAACAGAGATGTAATCTTGACATAACAAGATATAATGACCCAAAGATGTATTATGGCAGGTCTAAATGAATAAATGAATACATATAGTCGTATTTTCCGCACTTTAAATCTATAAAATGGTTTTTAATTCTATTATTACCGTGACGGTTCCTCTTATTAACAACACGTCATTTCTAGAGCTTTCTATTTTAAAATACGGACTATACTTCAATTGTATGTTAATAAAATATTATTTATATTAAATTAAAAGAAAATTATAACGTTTTTATTTGATTCAAATTGTCTCTCCTCAAGACGCTGACAAAGTCGTAGGCTTACAGCAATATACATTACATTACAAAAAAAAACTATTGAAATTTAATTTTCATATCTCAAATGTATGTAGAATGAATGAACTTGTTTAAAATCTCAGTTTTAATGTCTCATGAATGAGGATAACGGATACATTAAAATTTATATGCATATAATATTCGAGATAATGTTTGAGAACGGATATTAAGTATCAATTTATCGGATAACCAGTTATTGTATATATTTAACACATGAATAAACTCTAAACACCCGTAGTTGAAGGGTTTCCCTTAATACATATATTCATTGGAGCTTGTTAATATTTGTGAAAGCTGTCGAGAATTGATTTTACGCTTTCTTATACTTTATATAATGCTGTATAATCTCTTATTTATTGGAAAATTGTAATTCGTAAATATTGATATGTTTTCAAAGAGATTCAGCTATCAAAATAACTTGAATTAAATGGGCTTTATACTGAAATATAACGCGATTTATTATATTACGTTTTATATGACATTTCGATTGTCAAATTCAGTCATATGAGTATTCACAAAAATATTAAATGATACGCAAAAAATTGTCAGGAAATCTTAATAAACCGACATTGACCATTACGCTAGCTCGGTGTAAAGTATTTAATATAAGTGATTTTTGTAATAAAATAACTAGATATATCCCTTTTTCAAATCCCTATTTATAATTTTATAATCATCCCTAATTTATAATTTTAATTTTTCTTCCAAATCTCAAATCTATGTAACTACATCCCTGGAATTACATCGATACGTCTTAATTGTATATAATTAAAACTTATTTCGTAGAGAAAATGGATTTTTACGACGACATTGGCAAAATATTTCCGATTCTAGTGTGAAAGAAGACAGCATAAAAAAATCAGTGACCTTGAGTAGGATTAATACTTAAAAAATAATCTTTAAACGTCTTTAATTATTTTTTGTCACATATGTTAGTGTTGTGACATGTCCCCAATTACGTCATCATGCCGAATCAGTGTCGTGGGAATCCTTCCCATTTGCAACATTCAGCCCTACTATTGAATGTGTCTCACGCTCTTGTGACAGACTATTTTCTCCGCCGATTTTCTGTTGCGTAAACCTTTCAACTAATATCTTGTTTGTTTCCATTACAATAATCAGTTTATCGAATTCCGTACAATCAAGAGATATTAGATTTCATTAGCAATGTTTCTTACCTGTCCAAATATTGTCCAAAGATTTTTATGATAGCATAACCGAATATGGAATAGTGATGTCACTTACACAAAAATCTTATTTTTCTATAAAGATTTTTTTATAAATTACTTTGTTAAACTAGATACTTAGTATAAGTAGTAATTATACTTTCCTCACAACGGGGTCATTACATAATGAATGAAATTACAAAACTAGTTTCCGAACGAGTATTTATCCCGTTTTGAAAGTGATTACATTCATTCACATGTTATTAAGAAATTTGTTGAAATAAATGACAGCTGAGTGACAAGTCACCATCAAATAAATTACACAGTCTGTGTCACACGTCGCCATATTTACTTTTATATTTAACGATAATGATTTGTAAATTATTGTAAATAATGAGTTAAAACAAAAAAAGATCAGTAAGTTTTATTACATAATTACGTGGATTTTCCCGTATCTTAACTCGCCGACACGATTGTAATTGTCAAATTGTAATTGTCAAATTAATAAGTATTGTAATTGTCAAATTAATAAGTAACGTTACAGAAGCCTTACCACAAGTTTGTTTTCACACAACATACATAGAGTTTCAAGTTTCTTTAACACGTGAGATTGACAAGTGACAAACAACTGAAACCTGAGATACTGTGAGGCTGCCTCTAGTGGTTAGTTAGCAGAAATACTTACACGCTACTTACATGCACATTAATTACATAAATTCGTATTATTAATATTAATTGGATTTCGTTCATTATTCTTGTTTTGTTTGTCTTCATAATAATCTTCCGGCCATTAAAATCGCATATATTATAATATTCTTGTAAATGTTAGTATCCATTGTATACAGTGTATCGTGCGGATCTCAACCTTTTCCCAAATAGTGTTGTTCTCGAACCGATAGCCGCATCCGGTTATTTATCGGTCTGAGAATTACGAACAATGGTCTGAATACTAAAACACGGCGCTTATAAATGTTGTTTTTGAATTATTTTATATACCATTCTAATTTATAATAGAAGAAGTCCTTCCTCCATAACATGACAATAAAAAAAAGCAAACAAAAAATCAAAATCATAATAGGTTTTTGATAAATTAAAACAATTACTTAATTTCCCTATTTATTTTATTATGGTACATTATGAACTTATTAAAGTGAGTTATACAATATATTTAGATGATGTGGAAGATTTTATTCATATCTCCAGTTAATTAGAATGTAATACACAAAAAAATCCTTATTTTCCTTCAGCTTCTACGACCCAATCGTCTACAGCACAATTATCATCATCATCATCTGTAACAAGACGTCCGTTCCGTGTGGCGAACCGCCGCAGACTGTTCTCTACCACAACCACCACGACCACAGCCTCCCCCACCACTACAGAACTGGAGAGTGACGAATCATTACAGGATATAGGAGACACAGGTGAAGTGACTCTCATTTACACGACAATCTATCGGTTCATATAAACATAAACAAATCAAAACAGGCAAATTGTGCTAGAAATAAGTCCACGTAAAGTAAACTTTATAGGTGGTAGAGCGTAGTGGTCAGTTATTACACCTCGACCGGGGAAGTACCTGCCTCTCACAGAAGATCGGCGTGAAGTAGTCTTTAATGGCTGCGTTTCGTCCGATGAGTGAGAGAGCCGGTTGCTTTTTCCCTATTCCTACATTGGATACCTTTTTATTCTTCCCATCCCTCCCCTATTTCTAAAAAAAATATGCTCTATAGTCTAGAGTCTAGATACTAACATTTTTTTAATATATCCCTGAAATATAGATGCGATCGAAGACCCGTCCCTCCAACCTCAAACCCAAGCGAGGAGAGTCACGAACGGTCCGCGGAGACGGCCACTGGTCCAACTCAAGAACCAAAACGAAGATCAAAACTCCTCCGCCACTAATGATGAAGAGAAAACAAGACAAAGCAAGAAGTACAGCGCCAGCTTCAAACAGAACCAGCTCGACGAAATACTGAAACTGAGATCCAGCGCTGAAGAAATTGATGTTACTACGGAAGGAAGATCCACTCTTGATGGTAAATAAATATAATTTGAATTATTACATAGAATCTATTACTACATTCATAACATGTATAGTTTTTTGCTCGTATTACTCCTGGATTATTTATTTACTATTATTTATTTATATAATACATTACAAATTTCTTTTACGGTGTTACAAAATCCCTGTCGGTTTTATCCGTACACCGGCATTCATTGAGAGCACCTGGAACTTTTAGTACATAAATATACCTACTACTATAAATTACATAAGATTTTGAGTAGCTGATGTTTGTTTAATAAACAAAAGATATAAAAGATCTTTTATTTAACACGCTTATATTAGCTTGAGCTGTTAACGATTTATCATTATCCTTGTTAGCGCCGGCCAGGATTAATATATTCTTTTTATAGATCCTCTATGTGAGTGAAAGGAACAGAGCTAATGTGCGATGCGCATGTCCACAAAAAACTAATTAATAAATCGTACTAAATATATACCAAATATTAATTACAAGTGTGTTTTTTTAAACTAATATTTATAGTATAAAAGTTATATACAAATCGTATGTTCCCAGATACAAGTGCTGAAACAGCAGTAGCTCTAGCGGCCCACCAGCTCCTATCAGCTCCCATACCGATCATACCCGACTACGACGACGAATCGAAACCATCGCGGTCCTCTCAAACTATCGTAGACTATAAATTTACGAGCCCAGAGTACAATGACCTCACTAAAACGCAAACTTATACAGAAGACTATCAGAAAACTCCGTCTTACACTTCGTCTGGACCAAGATATGAGTCAACGACCCCTTACACTCTCCGAACTGACGGAGATGTTCGATCGACTACAGGATCAGTTAACCCTGAAACAAATATACCCTCAGGGTTCACTACACCCGGCCTATTCACAGGCCGGTTCACGAGACCTACTACAGGAAATACAATCAACCCGACTTTCTCTGGTATAACGCTCAGCCTCGGCTCCGAAGGGTCTGGAGAGTCCACAGCTCGTTACACCTCAAACTTCCCCAAAGAATCAAACCCTACAACTTACACGGTCAGCAACTATGAAACCAGAACAATCAGGCCAGGTTTATCAACCAACATCGTCAATCCAACGTCGTTGAATTTGAGAGAATCTACAGCTAGGATATACCCGAGCCTGGATCGAAGTGTACAACCGACTTATTCGACGGAATTCACAGCAAAAATTTCAAGGCCGGCAGGATTTTCACCTAATTTAGTTAAAATAGATGAAATTGAAAACGATAAGACGACAGAGAAGTATCCGGGTTTCATCGAGAGGGGTCCATCTACTGCTAGATTCGAGGGTTCTAGCGAAAAGATTTCGGTCCCGGTCGCCGTGGGGTACTCGTCTGGTAGCCAGGGCTTGCAAGAGCCTTCGTATTTCACCAGAGAATACTTATTGGAGTCCCCGGTCACTAGAACGTACGACGGTATGTAAATTTCATTAATAAACATTCTCGCGTCGTTGTTAATGGTCTTACAAAAATAAATTTTTCAGATGAATACCAATATCTGTCACCAGCGACGACACCACAAACCACAACTAAGAAACCGCTGAGAAGGAAAACAATCTACCGTAGAATATCATCTACAGCTGCACCAAGCTCACAGATTGTTCAAACCCCGTCCTCAATCCGCACTTCACCCACATTGACGACACCCACACAACCGATAACACAGACGACGGTCAAACCACGACGAACTAGCAGGAAACCCTTTCAAAGAATAGCGGTGAAGAAAGGTCCCCTTCAGAAACAACCAGTAGAGCCAGAGATCAAGGAGTCGGCTCCCAAAGAAGTCCAGAAAACTCTAGTTCTAAAGATCAATAACAACGCCGTTAAGTCATCGAAGCCACTCTCAGACTACGATTACTATGATGACAGTCACGAAGGCGTTAAGTATGAAGATGGATCCAAAGTACTTCTTCATGGAAAAGGTTTGTTAAAATTTTTAATGTAACAAAAATCCTAGCCCAATAAAATTTAATTATATTACCTGCAAAGCCTTCTGGCAGAATAAATTACGTTCGATCAGAATACTGTCAACTATATGTCAATTTTGACGTTTATATTTTATTTGCCGTTTTATTATTTTTTATTGACAGGCGACATCGAATGTTTGGACATCGGTAACTTCGCTCATCCGTCGTCATGTAAGAAGTTCATATCGTGCGCGCGAATGGAGAGCGGTGCTTTAGTGGGCTGGGAGTACATTTGTCCAAAGGGACTGTCCTTTGACCCTGTCGGCGGCATTTGTAATTGGTCCGCCGGGTTAGGTTGTACTGAGAAGGACGCGTGATAATTATGTTTAGTGTCGTTTAGAAAAGTTTATGAATAAATGTTGAAAGTACACTTATAAAATCATGCAGTAATAGAAGTGCTGAGGGTGTATAGAAACTTTTTAAATTGTAGATATAATCTTTATTATGTTATGTTTTGGAAATACCAACTTTTTACTTACAGTCGGTATTGTTCCAAAACTACAATACATTTAAAATCGAAATACTCAGTGGTTGTTTATACAAAGTAATGTTATAACTTTTTATATATTTCTTTATTTGGCTGTTTTATTTATTTAATTTTAACAAAATAAATTCATGCATTATTTTGTATAACCAACCAGACACAATTTTGTAATTTTTTACATTATGAAATACTTTACTGGTAGGCAAAAAAATCCTATGTAGATAAATGTCTATATCAAAATTATTATTATTTAGAAAATATTACTCGAGAATGTGCCTTAATTATTTTACAATAATTAGTTTTAAGACGTACTTTACAATTAGTATAAAAATAAATTTTTCCAATAATATAAAATTTTTCATTGCAATATTTCACTACAAGTAACAGGAGAGCTCACCACGCTAAATCATAGTGATGTATTTGGTTGCAAAACTTTTATGGTCACTAAAAAATGGTATACTTTTTCTCTGCCAAACAAAATGAAAAAAAATAGAAGAAAACTATTTTAAAGACATACTCGAGCTTGTCAAGTATTGTCGGCTTTCAAGCCGTACAAAATTTATGTAATGAACGAATTTTAATCGAACCACGGCATGATTGGGGTCGTCGGTAAAATAATTAAAATGCTGAAGTCAAAGAAATAAACGAATGAGAAAAACTTTAGATTATCGTATATTGCTCAGGATTCTTTGAAATCCGATTTTAAATAAGTGATGAAGAAATGCAGTATACACACTATACCAATATCACTCTCTGATACTTTAAATCTAATCCACAAAAATTAAATCAATTAAAAAAATCCAATATTTTGTAAGTAGGTACTTCTTTCATAATACTATGAATTTTGGAAGTAACATATTTGTTACATTAGGGAGCGTTCAAGTATTACGTAACGCAATTTTCGAAGATTTTTGACCCCCCCTTCCCCCGTCGTAACGCACAGTAACGTTTTTCTGTAGCCCCCCCCCCCCCTTCTCAAAACGTTACGTAACACTCAAGTGATCAATTTCATCAAAAGACTTACAATGCAATCTATGTATTCCCCGTAAAATATCAATTAAGAGGTTTGCAAACTTGGAATAACAAATAAAAATATCGACCAGACTAATACAATCTGGTCAACAATGTAATGTATATGAAAAGAGTTGCCAGTTTGGGGGTTTTTATTAATATATTTTTTTAGAAACAATGCTACGTAACGTTTTGTACGAGACACCCCCTCCCGCCCCAGTAACGCATCGTAACGTTTTACGAGACCCCCCCCTCCCGCAAAATTGCGTTACGTAATACTTGAACGCTCCCTTATAAGTAATTGTCACTGAATTTATTACGCACAAAAAATTCATCTTGGCGTTTGTTTTACTATGTGTAGGCCTCCTCTTTGTTTACGTTTATATATATACACTTTATAGTATGTAATTAATTCTCCCTACTCTCATCTAATTTTTTTTACCCATTGGAACCTCTGTCTTTGATTACCGGCCATACCTATATATAATAATTTAGAATGCTCATATTTGATGGAAATACTAAATAGGATACAAAAAAATGTCCTTTACTGTAGTCTCCTAAGCTTTCGTATATCCAGATATCTCTATTAAAAGTTTTACCAAAAACTTTAAAACAGGAAATAAACAACGGGAACAAACATAATAAAAAAAAATTCTTGTTTTTTCATAACAATACAAAACAATGGAAATCAATGCGTGGGTTATTCAATAATACTCATATTTTGGTGCTATATAATATAATTATAAAGTCCGTTTACTAATATTCACATATCCTATTCCGACACAAGTCATTTTAATCTTCTGAGCTATAGCGTATGTGTCCTCCTCATCCGAGCTCTCGTCTTCTTCAGACCTCAACACTTCTAACTTGAACATCACACCGAAGAACTCTTTAAGATGTTGTAGAAACTTGATTGTGTAATCCGACAGAGGTCCCACCTATAAAACAAATAAAACATTATTTTCTGTCCTTTTCACATAATTTTTCATAGACAAGTTTATAGTCTGTTCAATATAATGTTGTCTATGAATAAAATTAAGCAGTTGTTAATACAAAAAACTACATGAATAAAAAAAAATAACTTCATAAAACTATCATAATTAAATTTTCAGCGCCATCTATCGCCAACTTTAAGAGTTTATAATCTACATACCTAACACAAATGTAATTTAAGTGTTTGTTTAATGTTATATTACGGATTAATAATATAATACGACAATAAATATAATACGTCCAACAAATAAAAACGTTTAAATTTGCATATATTATAGCATAAAAAAATCAGTATAGTGTAACTCACAACACACTCGCTGACGTCCTTCTGTCCGAGCGCCATCCAGAGCGCTAACAGCCATTGAAAGGAACTGTCGACTGCTCCGCCTCGCCTCACCTCGTCCAACAACATGTGGGCACACTCACGACCCAGGTCCTCGGGAAGAGTTGGCTCTCCGGAACCAGCCTCCGCGGACTTCTGAACATTGAAGTAAAGGAACTACGATTAATAAACACTTTCTGTTTAAAGAATTTTAAGCTCAAAATGGCAAAAGATTCTTTTTTTGTAGAAATTGTCTCAAGTTTTTGAGATTATCACAACATTTTGGGATCTAAGAGTTTCACAAGAATTCTATTAAGTAAAATTAATATTTTCAAATACTACGCGTTTTTTATCTCTGGGAATCATCATCGTCTGAGCGTGATCACGGTTGGTGCAAAGTGACTGAAACGTCAGGAGAATGTACTTTTAAAAATAATAAAATAGCACATAGTAATATAAACATATAAGTTTCATTGTCAATATAAATAATAACCATTAATTGACCTAATTAGTAACTTGTATTACTCATTGTTTCTACTATACTTACTGCTTCAGCGCAATAAAATGTCTTATCTGTAGTCTCAGCAACTAAACTGACTCCAAATCCAGGACTCTTCCCGGCATTAGCTCCACGACACTGGTCTGTGTTTATATAAACATCGGGGAGAAAGTTTAACATCACCTGTGGATATTATTATGACTTAAATCCTTGATTTAAACATGTATCATCAATAAAACTTCTATTAACTATTCATACCCCTTTTGCTGCCTCTACAACCCTATTAGCCATCGTCGGTGACACTCTTAAAGCATACACAACCCCTCTAATTCTCTTAACCATTCCCCATTTACTGCATTGCAGTGGTCGGAGATGTCGTCGGACAGGACACTTGAACACAATCTCACCACCTCCCAGAGGGGGAGCTCCTATATAACACAGGAGAATATATATTGGAAAATAATTTAATATAGGAATAGGACTATTCATTAATTAATAGTTTCGTTTTGTTTTAAATAAAATGTAAGCATATATAAGTCTGCTTTTCGTTTAATTTGAAATTGTTGTCTAAGTCTTACATGATTTTCTAAATCTTTAGAAACCTTTATTTGAATTTTATAATAATATTAATAAATTTATTATCACCTCATTAAAATGATATATATTACAGCAATTAAAACTCATAATATAAATTACAAGAAAATATCTCACCTCTTCTGACAACTTTAAGTTCCAAGCCGTCGTCAACTAATATAAACTTAAGCAATATTGGTAACGCCGATGCCTTTACTTTGTCAACGGATACATCCAACTCATGATGAGTGACACCCTGCAGTACAGCATTCAATGGCTCTTTACAGAATGGTCCCAGTGCTAGCAACACTTCTAGATAATAACCTGAAATAATACATTCAAGACTTGCATTATGTTTTAAATCTCCAATTTACTATCATAAACATCTTAATATAATGTAGAAACAATTTAAATATGACCTATTCAATCATAAGCCCTTAATTAAAAACATTGAGTTATCAAAATAAGTTAAAAATCGACCATTAATTCAAAACAATAAACTTTTTAAATATTTGGTTATTTTCACCTCATATTCATTGATTTGATTCAAATGATCATAATATGTTTGTTGTAATAAAAGTAAATTTTCATTTTAATAGTCTTTCAGTCCAGATTTAAATTAGAAAATGAAAAGATAAAATGAAAATGGATTTAACAATCTTTCAGAACACTACATAATTTTTATTTTTTAAGCAATAAGACTATTTCAATTGTCTATTTATATAAATAATAAAATATATTTTTAATACTAACCTATCCCTCTCTGTGTGCAACAACTGTGGGTGACTTGACCACCAATTAATATTCCTGGTTGAAAGTATAAAGATGTTCCAGTTTCACTCAACTCTACTCTTGATCCATTTGTAATTTTGTCCAGTAAACGTATTAAATTTACTTCATACTCTCTTAAGCCTGGATCATCAAAAGAACTCCGAATTTCCTCAATCTTTATAGCTCTACCGCTCAACGTCGCAAGGAGCAATCTTTGGCGAAATAAATTGCTGCCTTTATATACTAGCACATCATTTTGTAAAATTGCAGGCATTTTAATAGTAAATACATTTATTCCTGTATGTTTACTTTTAGCACGTGGGACTACAATGTTTTTAATTCACTAATGTCAAATGTTTAAAGTTTCAAGGAAACTTCATCGCTCTTAACAAGTATTTGACACATTGAAAACATTTTTAATTTCTTCATATAAAATTTCACATATATTATTTATCCCAAAAAATAATAGTTGTTTTGGGCTTAGTGTCATAAATGTTCTTTCAACGTGAAATATTATTATATAAAGAATCCAAATTGATAATTAGGTATGAACTTTAATCAAATACACATGTCTGATGTCAGTTGTCACTTGTCAAATTATAAGGACCACATTTCCCTAGGTGGTATTCCTTGTAAATTGTAAACATAAATCAACAATTTACTGGCAGACAATGAGTTAAGTGGCATTTTTAAGAACAAGTTTTTATGATTTATTTTCAACAATGAAAGCTTCTATTGGAGATGTCGTTTTGCCTGGAGATTACTGTGAAGAAATAACCGTGGCCGGCGAAAAAGCAAAAGTAATCATAGGTCCAGGATTAAGGAGAGAACTTGACCGCGTGTATGTCACTAAAGCTGGAGTTCTTAAAAAACGAAACCCATGTACTTATTGGGTAGACAGTTACCAAAAGCGGTACGTTCCATCAAGAGGTGAAAATGTGATCGGTGTTGTGGTGCAGAAAGCTGGTGATATATTTAGAGTAGACGTTGGAGGTAGCATCACTGCAGCGTTATCATATTTATCATTCGAAGGAGCTACAAAAAAGAACAGGCCTGAGGTACAAATTGGAGATATTGTTTACGCCAAAATGCTGGTTGCTAGCAAAGATATGGAACCAGAGTTAGTTTGTGTCGATTCACACGGTAAAAAAGGACGCTTAGGCGTACTGAGTGATGGATTCTTATTTAAGTGTTCTTTAAATTTAGTGCGAAAAATATTGAACCCTTCATGTCCCTTACTTGAGTCCTTGAAAAATGAATGGCCATTTGAGATGGCAGCCGGCATGAATGGTAGGATTTGGATTAAAGCTAACTCCATGAGAGAGACAATTGCTCTTGGTAATGCTATCTTGGGTGCAGAATATCAAAGTGATGAAGAAATTAAAGTAATTTGTTCTAACATAGCTTCTATACTGGCTGGACATATTTCATGATGCATAATTTTATTAAAACAATATAAAAAACGTGTTTGTTTTTACTTTATAATATTTTATATAACAACTATATAAATATGGGAATAATATCAATAAAAAAATGAATAGTTTCTTCATTTTATTCAATTTCAAATCGCAATCTAAATGTTTTAGCAGTAATACTTTTTATGTTAAGACAGCATTTTTGTATTTGCCAAATTTGTTAAAAGAATATGTACAATTTAGAATTATGGTATCATGTGCTTCATTTTCTCAATTCAATTCAAAAAAACTTGTGCCATTCACCATTCAAATAAATAGGACAAAATAATTAACAAGCCACACTCGCTATGTACAATATACAGTGGCAATTAGTAATGTCATCATAACTCATACAATAGGACTTTACTGACCAGAATAAATTTCAGTTATTAAATTCAAAAAATTATCACCTAAACAATAAAATAACTAGCTTAGGTTAAAACTATTTTAATATTAAATGTATATGATTCACAAGACCGGAGACTGTAAAGTTCATGCATTAAGTATTAAAATAAATTATGTTAACAAAAGGAATAACAAAAATGTCCAGTGAAAAGATATTTGTTGAGTTTATCATTGAAATTAATATTAATAAACTGTACAGTATGTTAACTCCAAGTAAATCAGTCTAAGTGGACCTTACTGCGAGCCTCTTCAGAAAAATTAACATCCCCTGATAATGGTTCTAAGAAAATTAATTCAGTTAAAACTTTAACAGATACTAGTTATGATGAAAACTGTAGTTTTTAACTTACTGTAAATTATGGAAGATATTGTGGAAATATTACTTTGATATTTAGAATTTCGTTATTAAAACTAAATCAGGACTGTACAAAATAACTACAATGTTTGAAAGTACTACAAAGGAATGTCTCTTTATATACATTTGATTTTAATTTATTTCTATATAATACAAGTTTTATACATTATGATAACTAGCTCAGTCGTCATTTACAGCAATGATTTAGATCCGATCATCTTAAAATTTATTTCAACAGCAAACATCACTATGTTATTTACATACAAATAAATCATTAACTATATACAGAGATAATAAAAATCAATTCTATACAAAATGGGAATTAAATTCATCATAATTTATTTATATGTATATTAAATATCTACTCTATGGATGATCAAATTCAAACAATAATTAAACTATCAATATAACAAATATTAAAACACAAATGAAACATTGTCCGTTTGAATACTGATGTAATAAATAAAGTTGATACTACAATGATTGTGTGACATTGAATATTTACACATCACAGTGTTAACGCTGTACAATATTTACATTATGAACAGACAACTTTATTTTATATATGAAAATATAATTTAATCTATAGACAATCAGGAGATCAAGGCTCGGCTACCTTCACACCTGATGTAGATATAGAACACAAAACATTCATCTAGATACAAAAAAATAATAATACATACATACAAAATTAATATTTGTTCATATTACCAATAGTTCTTACTTTGAATTTCCAAATTAATTAAATTAATAATATAAAATAAATTCATTGTTTTATAATCAAAAGGCCTACAATATTATTATTAGTTTCTTAGTGAACTCGGGACTCTGTTAATAAGAATGTATCTTTCAGTTATCAAGTGTAAACGTAGCACAAGCTTCTTATAATAAAGTGCCATTTATATTTAAATTTCATCTAAGTATACAGTTTACCCGTTTGTTATTTATAATATAACAATAGTAAATAACTGCTCTCCGGAACAAACAACTCCATTATCATAGTTAAGATCTTTCAATTGACCATTTATTTCCTCTTGCATCAGCATTTTTATAAATAATTCTTATAATTATTGAATAATTTTGAGAGGAGAATTTAAGTTTTTGAATATTAATTGAAATCCCTGATAATCTAATAATAGTTTTTAAATCTATATTTTATTGAAAAACTAGCTTGATTCACTGTTTGTCTGTAATCAATATTATAAAATTCAATATTTAGTATGTTTGATTGCAGCTAGAAATAAAAACAAACAATTATCAACTAGCTTCATACTTTGAGTGATTTTTAAATTAACTCACAATACAATCACACTGTTACTCTGAGACTTAGATGAGTCGTCTCTTGACATAATAGGAATAAACGATTTTTTGATAGACACAGACATCTAAAAAGTATCCATATTCTCACTGGTGTCGCACAGATTAAGTAAATCACAGAGGGATGCACAAACCGGTGCCTCTGATGAAGTCTACAGTATACTATGTCTCAGAACACTGAGTCAGCTGATCGTGACAGATGTACAGGGTGTGAGGGTGAGCGAGCCAGCCTCTTCCTCGGCAGCTTCTCCAGAGTTGACAACAAGTGTGGGAAGTCTGGTCTCTCACTTGATCGGTAAGCCCAGCACAGCATAAGGATGTCCTGGAAGTTAAAATAAATGTTGTTTGTTATTCTTATTTAATAAATATCCAATTTCTTTTATAACAGTTTTGGATGTAAATAAAATTTATGATACTGTGGAGGATAGTGCAAATCCGAGTAACTACCATTGGATAATTTCGCGTATTTACATTGGAAGCCGATTATCAGAACAAAGTTTAAGCTGAAATATTGTCTATATTAACGACTTTTAAGATTTTTTTTCACAATTAGTAATAACGTAGCGTTTAATTTGTTAAAAATTCGTAGTTTAATTTAGAAAATATTTCATCTTATAACTTTCTTCTGATAATCTGCTTTCAATGCAGATACGCGGAATTATCCAATGCTAGCTACGCGGATTTGCACTATCCACGACGATATATATTTTAGCAAATGTATAATGTATTATCAGATATTATTATTTTATTCCACATACTTTAATATCTCTAGAGGCTTGCATGTTATTCAAGGATTGCTTCACTCCCTTGCCGACCTGCCAGATGACCGCTTCAGGAGGTTGGCCTTTGAAGGGATATTCACCACACAGCAGCTCGTACCATACAGTACTGTAATGTAAATATTAGTTTCTATGAGCTTATCTTTATATATATAATTCTTCTGAGTGTGTATGTCACTGAACTTCTCTCAAACGACTGAACCGATTTTGATGAAATTTTTTTGTGTGTTCAAGGGGATCTGGGAATGGTTTAGATTCACAATTTTGTCCGCTGGACAATGTTTTTTTAATTTATTAGTAGTTGTTGACATAAACTTTTTTTTTTAAATTAGATTTGACAACTAACTAATATGTCAATCATTCTGTCGCACTTTAAAACACGGAGATTTATGGCTTAAAGGTAAACTCCAAAATATAAATAAAAAAACTAGTTATACAGGGTGACTGGTGAATTACTATCGATATTTGAGGACGTGATATTTGACGATCATATATGACTAAATAAAAATTAATATAACATAAATATTAATAAACTTCTAAGTAAAGTTAACCAAAAGTTATGTAATTAATTACGCATCGTATGAACACCCTACAGATTAGGTATACACATACACTCACACATACGCGCGCGGCCGCGTGTGTTGTATCAGCACGCCGCCGCACGCGTCCACACTTGGAACAGTTGGAACGTGTACACACTTTATTTATTTATACGGAAATTTGGTCAAAAATTAAGTACCTATTTTTTTTACATAATTCGAATGAGAATCATGTACCGAGTATGCTCCTTAAATATTGATAGTAATTCACCAGTCACCCTGTATAAATAATAAAATTAGTGTTAGGTCCTGTGATTTATGGAATTGACTAACAATATATGTTTGTGTGTGTGTATGTATGTGTATTTGTGTGTGTTATTCATCTTACCCAAAGGCATAAACGTCTGTGGCCTTGGAGAAAGGCAGATGTAGGCTGGCAATGGGTCTAAGAGCTCGGTGAAGCTCGGGAGCCAGGTAACATAACCAACCCGGAGGGATGCCGAGGCTGTCACCACGGGCACTGATAGAGAGAGGGAGAGGGGATATTAATATTATATATATTAATATTATCAGTATTAATCAGTGGCGGCTGTACCTTAAGTGCGCCCGTGCGCTGAACCACCAATTCAAAATATTTAAAAATTACAAAATATTATGTCATCTTAATTTTTAAATTACCATTTTAATATTTATTTTTTAAACATACAAAAAGGTATAAAAAATTTAATTTCCAATTATGGTCAAAAAGTTTAAGCGCTTTACTAAACTCATATCGTGCGCTCCGGCGAGTGCACGAGGACTGCTAATACATCTTGTATGAGACACGCATTAATACGCCTGGCGCGTGAGACAAAAGATAGTTCATAGAAATGTACCGAGTAACGAGTCGGTTCTCGCGCGCCGCACGAAGCGGCCGAAGGTTACCGAGAGCACCCGATGTATGACGTATTGAGCCGGCCGGCAAGGGGCCGGCCGAAAGGATGGGTGCTATGATTGACATTTCGTTAATCGTTATTGGTATTGTTTCAACTTTCACTGTATGCGTGACGCGTTAATTCGTTATTGTTTATAATTATTTCCGTAATTCGTTTTAGTTTTTATTTCGTTTCTATAATAGAACTTTTATTCTGTACTGTGTTTTTTATTAGTTGAAAATGAGTATAAATATTGATTATATTAAAGAAAAAATAACAAAATTTTTCAAAGTAAAGTGAACATAAAATTGGCCGGGCCGCCACAGCCCTTTTTAAATTTAAAACAAGAGTGTAAATCGAAAAATAAAGCATTTATACGAAGTTTTAAAAGTGAAATGTATAATAGAAAGAAATGGTTGTGTGGATGTGAGCGTCTTAATGCATTCTTTTGTTTTCCTTGCATTATTTTTGGCGGAGAATCGATTTGGACAGAAACTGGAATCAGATTTTAATAAAAAGGTGATAGAACATTTCGCTACAGAAAAATGTCGTCGCATTGATTTAATGTACAAAAAATAAACATATTTTATGTCAATTGTTGTTTTTGTCAATATTTTAGTAAAGTGAACCACCAGTTCGATAACCCACCAGCCGCCACTGGTATTAATCATTATAGTATTTTACATAGATAATTGTTAAAAAGTAATTCAGCTCGGCAGAGAAAGTATTACAATTAATCTTCTAAAACTTAAACTATAACAATGTTTTCCATTGGTTGAGGTGCATTATGGTTTTAGCAAATTTTAAAATTTTGATTATCTTTGGACCCCAGACTAGGAGACCTGTATCGTGTTTTATTTAAGGAGAATACTGCTAGATATTTTTCTTAGTTTTCTTAGTATGTAATATAAGTGTGAGGTTTTACAGTATTTTTATATTAGAGGTTTCTTTACAATATTTTATTTATATAAAGCATGTCCATTCCGGCGATACAACAACCAAAAAAAAAATCTTTAATGTATTATTATCATATATGTGTAAGATTAGATATAAACTGTATATTTCTCTTACTTGTTGCCGAAACATAACTTGGTGACACTGAACAGTCCGAAGTCTGTGATCACAACTTTCCCATTCTCCAAGAATATATTCTTCGTTTTCAGATCCTTGTGGACGATGCCTCGAGCGTGCAAGTAGCCCATGCCCTGTAATATTACACATATTTATTATAAATTTTATTTTTTCTAATATTAACAACATTATTTTCTTTTGACTGAGTATACATTGTCTTTTCCTACATTTAATAACACTTATATATTATGTATGTATAAAGTTAGCAATGAGCCTATAATGTGGATTTTTCATGTTCTAGGTTACGCTTGACAGTTGACAATATAAAGACAACTTCTTTAAATATAGAACCTTGTTTCACTTTATAACACTGATGACTAAAATCTTTATAAAAATGTAGACCTACAAAAATTACTTACATAAAATATGGCCTAGTATTTATTCGACTTAGGTTACATATATTTTTACATAAATAAATAGTGGAGGAATATAAAGACTATTGCTGCATCACAATAAAACGTGACCTATTACACTATTTATTTAACTTGGGTTATATTTTTTCATACTTTATGTGATCAATTTTACATGACTATAGAATTTATAACGCTAGAATTTTCTTACTGCATGACATTATTCTGCCAAAGTGGCCACTGTATATAGCATGAAGGTTGTATTATATATACCTGTGATATCTGCTGAGCTACGATGACGCTCTTGTTGGCTGTGAACTTGTCTTTCCTCAGGTGGATGTGTGTGTAGAGGGTCATGCCTTTACACAGTGACGTCACGATGGCCAGGCGAGGAGGCTTCATACACGCACCCATGAACAACACCAGGTTTTCATGACGAGTCTTTCTGAAGGTCGCCACCTGGGAAATACATAGGTTTAAAGTTTATTTCCAAAAAGAACAAAATTCGATTACAAAGGAAATTTTAAAAACTATAACTACGATTAAAATTACAAATAATAAACAGTAGTGATAATAAACACGATCAGTGAAATCTTCTAATATATGGATATCTTCATCGTTTTTTAAATAGATTTTGAATTGACAACACTTAGAGGCAAAGAGTTATACAGCTACATACATACAACTTATAATAAACTGTTTATGATTTAGATATAATGAAAATACTTTGGGTTCATCGCCCTTTCGTTCTTCATATACCAATAGTTTTTTCATCTTTGAAGAACACATGATAGTCTGTTGTTTAAAACCGTATAAACTATTTGGTTGGACGTAACAAACTGACAATTATTATATTTTTTGCTTAATAGGTACTCATATACCAAAAAGGCTGTGTGAAATCAAAAGCGGTTAGTCTAGTGACTATTCATATCTTTATCATCAACATCATCAGCCTATCAGAGCCCATTGCCGAATAAAGGCCTCTTTTCACGTGGAGAAATTATAAGAATTATAAGAGAAGATAAATTATAAGTCCAGGTCTTCACGATGTTTTTCTTCACCGTCTGTCAGTGGTGTCTAAATGCTCTTAAAAAGTACATATGACTCGGAAAAATCACATTGGTACTTGACAGGTTTTGAACCCGCGCCCTCATGATTGAGACATGGGCCTTTACATATAATTTATATCGTCGGGGATAGTGAAAAACTGCGTAACTACCGTTGGATAATTCAGCGTATCTACATTGGAAGCATATTATCAGAAGAAAGTTTAAGCTGAAATATTTTCTAAATTAACTGCTTTTAAGGAATTTTTTTACAATTTTTCACAAATTAAACACTACTAATTGTGAAAAAAAATTAAAGTAATTATTACGTGGAAGATACACGGAATTATCCAATGGTGGTTACGCGGACTTGTACTATACCCGACGAAATGTCACGTATATACCCCAAGTGGGTCCTCTCAATCTTACCTCGTGTTTAAACGTATCCAGAGGCGCCGTGTGGTCACTTAGCGCGTTCACGTGTAGTAATTTCACGGCGACTGCTCCGTGCCAGCTGCCTCTATAGACCGTCCCGAATCGACCTGTTCCTATCACCTCGAACAGCTTGAGCTCGTCGTAAGGTATATCCCACTCCTTCATGGACAACTGAATAATGGAAATAAAACATTAAAATGTATATGATACAACTATCTAATTGTTATAACTATGTTTTACACCCTTAATTGCTTTCTCGACATAGTTCTTATTGTCCCATTTTCTAGATTTCCTCCCTACTCTCAGTTAGTCCCATTCCAACTTCCAAATCTGATAGTTGTCTTATTCAAATTTACAAATAGTTTTTTTTAAGCCTATAATGAAGATACTTTGTCACGTTTTATTTACGTAATTGTTCATAAAACAATAGTAAATCATATGATCATCTCTTGATATACATATGTGCTACTTTATAAGATATATCCGGTTTAAATTTTAAATATACTAACTGAACTCTTGTTAAATCCTGATATTGTATCGTCATGATTTTTATTTATAATTTTGTGGATAAAATAATGGAAGTTGTATGATAAGGGACCGTTATAATGGGCAGAAGTTTTTCATTCAGTACAGAAAAAAGAGATTTTTGGTGCTATTTTGTCTCAGAAAAGACAACTTTATGTAGGTTAACCCACGATATAAATATTCGTAGAACAAATATTCTCTTTTATATATTGACTCTAAGAAATCATAATCAATATAACATATTAAATTATAATTTTAAAGCATTATAAAAACTTTAATCATTAGTAAGTAATTAACAATATCTTTCAACTAAACATTTGTTCAAAGTCATTAAACAATAAACAAAGGATCAAATCATACTTCCTCAAATATCCTTATGTGATGTTTAAAAGACGTCATTGTTGGTGAATCACCACAAAAAAGTAATAAACTACACTAAACGACTATCAACAAACGAACTTAAGAAGACGAGTGGAACATTGACATACACAAAACACAAACACGAGATACACAGATCAACTTATGAAGACTGTAGCATGAACGACTATACATGAATCATCATAATACACATTTAAATTAAAATTAAAAAAAAAACATTGTCTATGGTCTTTATTTTTGTTTATAGTTTATTTAACGTACGAGTGATTAAAATGCCACAAGGAGTCACTCATATAATGCTGTGTTGTTGATGAGTCGTCTATAAATAGAATTATCTGTCGCTGATAAACACTTCTCGTGAATTCGACAGCTTACAAGAGCTTTTATTACAAGCCATGTTACTGTACTGGCCTGACAGATGATAGTTAACGCTTTATATATCAATTTAAAATAATTTATTGTGTATTAAAAATTTATTTTTTTAGTTTGGTATTCATGTATAGATTTCTTTTTAATGTGTACTCCTATAGAGTATCAACCGATCGAAAAAAAAAACAATATTATTTAGAAATTAGCCATACGACTATTACTATAATAAGATAATACAAATGAAACATTGAAAAATATATACAGGGTGACTGGTGAATTACTATCGATACTTGAGGACGTGATATTTGACGATCACATATGACAAAATAAAAATTAATATAACATAAATATTAATAAACTTCTAAGTAAAGTTAACCAAAAGTTATGTAATTAATTACGCATCGTGTGAACACCCTACAGATTAGGTATATACACACACACACACACACACACGCGTGCGGCGGTGTGTTGTTGTATCAGCACGCCGCCGCACGCGTCTACACTTTCAACACTTGGAACGTGTCCACACTTTATTTATTTATACGGAAATTTGGTCAAAAATTAAGTACCATTTTTTTTACATAATTCGAATGAGAATCATGTACCGAGTATTCTCCTTAAATATTGATAGTAATTCACCAGTCACCCTGTATATGTGAGTTTGTAATCATATATATTTTTATATATAGGTAAATCATATTTTGTTGCATCTAGTTTCATATTTTGCAATAACTTCTGATCAAACCTAATTATTTTTAATATATTTTTATCTTCCTTGAGATCATCCAATGTGTCATATCTCAAGTCCTTATATGAACAACATACTTAATATTGAAATTTAAACCTATGTTATGTTTTCCATTCAATGTTTCTAGATTTTAACAGATATTATTTTATATCTTTTACCTGGCCATTTCCCAGATTTATCCAGGGTCTGCCTTACATGTTGTAAAGAGTTTTGGCTTATTGTGTTTTACGACCCGCCGCCGGCCTGACATCAACCCTCTTTGGGAATGCATTAATCAGTGATGTCTAAATACTCTTAGAAAGTGCATATGACTCAGAACAATCACATTGGTACTTGCCCGGGCCAGGATCGAACCAGAGCCCTCGTGTGTGAGAGGCGGGGGCTTTAACCACTAGGCCATCACTGACTTATATATATTATTTTATATATTATATAATAATTAAAACCATACACACTTGGATATTGGAATATTTTTTAACTTTTTTTCTATAACTTATAGTCTCTTGGTGCTTATATTTCAAACTCAAAATACATGGGAGCTATTAACATAAATATCCACGTTTTAGAAACATCAATGTTTCAATTCTATCAAAGTTAAACAAAAAGTGTGGAGATGAAATTTCCCTTATTCTCATTAAAAGATTGTTTTTGATGAGATTTCCATACATTATGTTTTACCTAATGGGCAACCATTTTACTTGTGAATATTAATTAATAGCTTAGATTTTATTTAGTACTGAGATATAATATGTACATCAGATAGTGATTATCATAGAGTAAAATGAGGCATAGAGAAAGGTCAATCAGAGTTGACAGAAAAAATAATGAAATCAAAAGTTACAACATTTATATATTACAACACCCTTCTCAACAATATTACTACAGGGATAATTATAAGTTTCTTTTTGATATTTTGGAGGCTGTTTCCTTAATTACGTCATTAAATGTAGATTAGCTTTAGGTTTAAAGATCTTTATTCTCAACAAGACGATACATAGTCACTTATTTGAGAAAATTACTAACTTAAACATATAATTTTGTTAACATTCGTCACACCAGGTTTTATTTAATCTGTAGTGGTTAGTACGAAATTAATAAGTGAATAAAAGAAACGGAAAACGCATCCACTGTATGCGTTAGTTGGTAAGATATTGCGCGAGTTGCGTTTTAAATGCGCTAAGTGAATGCCTCTTCTCTATACAAGAAGGTATTTTATTATAAATGTTTACTCATATACCTTATTTTTATTTAAAGAGTGTAGTTCAGTATATAATAATGTACTCACACTATTCTGCCGCGGCCACCGGTCGGACGCGTCGTGTCGTGAGTCGTGGCGCTCCAGCGGCGTCCCCACCGATCGTACCGACATCTCTGAACACAAAAACATCAAATTCACAAGATAAATACATTTCAAACCTAATAATCCATATAAAATTAGGTTAATCTCAGAAAGTAATTAAAAGTATTTTAGACTACTTTATTTCAGTAGACAACAGAGTATTTTAGACTAGTTCTATGTTCATCTCAAAAAGTATCTTAGACTACTTAAAGTTCAGTGAATATAACTGAGTATCTTAGAGTACTTTTATTATAGTATGTAAGTCATACTAACCACTCTTATTACTAGCCGTGAGCTCGTCCTTATCCACGATCGAGCGCGCCGGGGATTGCACGGCCGACGTGTGGCTGGGGCTCGACACGGCCGGCTTTACTTCTACAACAATATATAAATATTAATATATCTATCTATATATAAGAAATTCGTATTAGTTACACTATTTATAATTCAAGAACGACTTTACGGGTTATGGTGAAAATTGGTGGAGATAACTTTGAATCAGGAAAAGACAGGATACTTTACATACGAACGTAAAAAAGTTAATAAAATCTAAAAGCTTATTTACTGTCTTTAAAGAGGAATAGAGTTCGCCTGGTCGGTTATACATCTCTAATTTAGAAAGTAACTCAGACAAGAACTAGTAGATAATAATTTTATCATTATTTTTATTCCACATTACCACTCAATGACTGGACTTCTATGTTAATGATCATATTGACTACATGTCTCTATATATCCTCATTAGTTATATGTCGTATACTCACCAGGGAAGTGGAACTGTTGTTTGAGTGTTATGTGGTGGTGGTGGTGGTGTGTCTGCGGGGTGGAGGGCGCGGGAGGGGGCGCGGCCAGCGCGGGGGACGACGGCGTGGAGCTGTTACACGACGACGTGTTGGACGATGAATCCGGATTACCCTGTACATACATACATACATACAATATATTAATTTGGTATACTTGTTATGCATAGATAATTTGGTTAGGTAGAGAGAGGAGCTTGGACGGTGGTGAGCGTTTAACGCGCGTTATATAGTGGCTTTTTAAACCTACACCTGAGTCGCAAGTCCCAGTCACTGTTGAAGCTCCTCTCCCTGCAACGCGATGGATAACTACACGGTTTAGTTTTGATTTAACTACATAGTTTTGATTTATAAACTATCGAAAATCGAAATGGTATATGAATATTACGTCTAAGGTATTACTGAAATTCTGACTCGTTTATATTGAAAACGCGAATCCTTAGTGTATATACAGCAGATATATATATATACTTTTGTGAAAACTGTAAGAGCTAGTATAGACCACACAATTTAAATTGTAATAGTTATCGAAATAGCTCACTAGGGGAGCCACTGTCTATGCTGCAAATGTCACGCTGTTTGTTTGTATTATACTCTCTCTTATGTCAACTGTTTTAACTGTGTGCTGTCATAAAAATAAATCTCAGTTTATCAGTTTTATCCATTATAATTTCAGGTCATTTCCATCAAAACCATATGAATGTCCCAAAATAAATATAATTCTATAATATGTATATAGATTAATTTAGTAGCCATATATATTGTTTTAAAGTCTCACCGTATGATGATGTGCGGTGGGCGGCGGGCGACGTCTGAGAGGAGTCAACGAGGGGATCAGCGTGCGGCCCGAAGACACTGACGTTAGGTACAGGCCGCCTGGGGAATATATCATATCATTATAATATCATAGAGTACACAGACATAATATATGATAGAAATTATTTTGTATTGAAACCACTCCAAAAACTTCTTTCATTATATGTAGTATACATTTGATGCATGCTAGAGTAACAGTGATCTATTTTTATTGAAGTGAATTTATTACATTGCTTTAGTTTTTTTGTCAAAAAAAAAATACGATTATGTTCCATCGAATATTTTTATTTTCGACAATTTTAAACTTCTTATACTTAGAATCTGATAATAAGTTTTACTGTATCATGTCTGGATAAAACTACTCCACATACTTCTATAGAATATTAGTTAAAAATATTATTGTACCGTCTTTGTGAAATTTTTCTTTGAAGGCAGTCACGAACTCTGGAGGGAGACCGCACGACGGAGGAACCTTACTTTCACAATCCCTGGAACAAAAACAACACGACTTACTTCAACGGTTTATAATATTGATTTAAAAAATAATAAACTTCAATTTCAGATAGTTAAGTTTTTATATCAACAAAAAACTAGACTTCTGTCCGTCGCTTTGTCGGCGTTGTATTATATTTAAAGAGCAAAAATTATAAGTACTTAATGTAAGACATTATATGTTAAACGACTCCGTTTTCATATTACATACAACAATATTTTTACAAACTACACGGAATACGTAGATAAATTGTCGCCCGATGTTTAGTCTATATAATTGAAAATCTTAATCAAAATCCTTTCAATGTATTTCTGGTGAAAAACAACAGACATCCATTATGATAAGCTATGCATTAATAACATTATTAGTGAACACTTACCTATGACATTTGAACTTGCACTCTTTACACTTCAAGCCGCTGCCGAACAGCATCTGCTTGTCACAGTAGTCGCATGTGGCTATCATGTTGAAGGTCTTTGTGAACCGGTGGGCGATGTCGTGGGCCATGCAGCCGCTCACGGTGGGCGTGCGGGGCGAGCGGGGCGCGGGAGGGGGGATCTGCGGGGGTGAGGGGGCGGTTATATACAAAAATAGTATAGAGGAGACAGAAATGATGGTATATCAGTGGCATTTACACACTGATAGTACAATATTTGTACTCCATATAAAAATAATGAACAATATTATGTCATACTTTTGAGTAAGATTTTTCTGAATTGCTCTCAATTGTCAAGTGTATATGAAATGATTTGAGTTTTGATTATATATTTAAATCTTCGAAATTAATAATTCTTAAAGACTTATACTAAAGGTAAGACTTAAATATACCAAAGATATATTATTCTAATATATATTTTTCTAACTTTATCACAAGTTTCCTTGTCAAACAAAACACAAGCAGTTTCTAATTTTTCTTTCCTAAGTCTTTACATATGTTAGTATAAAGATATATTAATTAAAAACCAGTCACTATTAGTATTCTGTCTTCATTTACTTAAATATCATAGTTATTCTAGTATATGTATGTTGTTACCGACCGTGTTTGTGTAGTATCGTGGGGGTGGGTCTGGATCGGGATCCCGGGGAGAGCCTGGGGGTGACTCAGATACCTCACACACAGCCGCTGACGACTGGCTGTTATCACTGAAACATACATGTAATATATATACAGTAGAAATTATGAAAGTGATAACTATTATAGGTTCTATTGGTGAATAGTAATGAAATCTTATATTGGACTCTTCATAACAGCTATTTTAGAATATCTATCAATCAGTTGCGACTACAAATTATATGAGTTAATCAAACTGTCACTCTATTACACTATGCTTTGGCACTCGCTTGGTGCATCCATGGTACATTGAGAAAATTTGCCTCTATCTCATGAAGTGATTGACCTCCTATTATATTAAATGAATGATAAAGTCAATCAGCACTTATAATATGGATTCCTAACTTCCTTTGAGATGTTTGATTAATACAGTCAAACATCTCAAAACTGATGCCTATTGATAGATTCTATTGGTGAATAGTAATGAAATTTTGTAGTGAACTATGTGCTAGCTACATGAAAAGATCTAACATTCGGCTCTGAATAAAAATAATATGAGAAATTAACAAATTACATTCAATTGAAACATTACACTCAGTATAAAGTGATTGAGCTTGTACCATATTAAATTATGATAGACAAGTAATCAGCACTTATTGATACATTTTTGGGGTTCTTAACAACTAGGCACTTTCATAATATATTTAAATTAGAATCCAAATGGAATATAATCCATAAGAACATGATGTCCAATTGGTGAAGCAAACAGAACATGAAATTTGCAAAAGTTGAATATATCACTTGATTGTGAGTTAATGAATTTTTCATTATACATATACAGGGTGACTGGTGAATTACTATCGATATTTGAGGACGTGATTTGTGACGATCATATATGACAAAATAAAAATTAATATAACATAAATATTAATAAACCTCTAAGTAAAGTTAACCAAAAGTTATGTAATTAATTACGCATCGTGTAAACACCCTACAGATTAGGTATACACACACACACACACTCGCGCGCGGCGGCGCGTTGTTGTGTCAGCACGCCGCCGCGCGCGTCCACACTTGGAACACTTGGAACGTGTCCACACTTTATTTATTTATACGGAAATTTGGTCAAAAATTAAGTACCTATTTTTATTACATAATTCGAATGAGAATCATGTACCAAGTATTCTCCTTAAATATTGATAGTAATTCACCAGTCACCCTGTATATCTATTTGAATTTTAATTCTAGTATTATTAAGTCAATCTCAAAACTATAATCCTACTAATATTATAATTGCGAAAGTTTGTGAGTGTGTGTGTATGTTTGTTACTTCTTCACGCTCAAACGGCTGTACCGATTTTGATAAAAGTTTGTATCCAGGAAGCTGACGTCCAGGAATAGCACATAGGCTACTTTACATACCGGAAATCCGCGGGGCGCAGCTAGTAATACATATTCCTCACATATAAAGTTACCTGTGATCCGATGTGTCTGGCTTCACAGAAAGCTGTGACTCGTGAGACCTGGACTTTGTGAGTGAGGAGTTTTGAGCTGGTGGCGCGGGCAAGTGGGAGTTCTGCTTACGTTTGTTGATCGGCGTCGTGGGTGATTTACCGCCTGGTACAGAGTTAATAATACTATTATTACAATCTTCTTCTTCTACCTGGCAATTTCCCAGCTATAGCCAGGGTCTGCCTTACATGCTGTGAATAGTTTTGGCTATTTGTTTTTACGACCGGCCGCCTGCTTGACATCAACCCTCTTTTGGGAATCAACATTAATCAGTGATGTCTAAATATTCTTAGAAAGTACATATGACTGGGAAAAATCACATTGGTACTTGCCCGGGCCAGGATCGAACCCGCGCCCTCGACAACGAGAGGCGGACCCTTTAACCACTAGGCCGCCACTGAGATAATACTATTATTACACTTTGGAATTAAATACAAATTAATATATATACTTATTAAGATGTAACTAAATGTTTTATTTAAATGGAAGTTATATTATTCTGATTACTACGCGTATTTTATTATTTTTTAACAACATATTCCCGACGTTTCAGTTACTTTGCAGCAACTTTGCATAATTTTATTTAGTAATCATCATTGTTCATAATTATAAGGGTAATTAATTATTGTTATATGTTATATTGAAAATAAATATGTATGTGTGTATACATTTAACTCTTCATTATCCCTACCCTTCTTATTATCATTGTTCCTGTCGTCTCTAGCCCTGGGTGAGCCTCGCACATGTCTCTCCCACGAGTCCCAATACAGGGGCAGTTCAGCAGAACCTTCACCACGAGCTAAAGCCTCTGAAAATATAGAAATAAATACATTAGAATTGTTGTAATTCCTCTAAATTGGACTGAACTATTTATTTAACATAATTTACATAAAATTCAAAGATATTTCTTGCTTGGAAATTATTTAAGGTCATATTTTCATAAAAAACAGTCATATTAGACATTGTTTAATATTGTTTTTTGTCTCCAATTGGATAATAACTGGATTTTTCAGGTTCCACTATTCAAATTGTTAGCACAAAATAAAATATGTGTTAAACTTATTTTAAGAACTGAATATATCAGTATTAGTTTAAATCAATGTATAGTGCTTGATAAATCTCATTATCTATTGAAGATTTATTCTAAATGCAAAAGAAAATTATATCCATAGAGAAGTATAGAAATGTAACTGGTCATAATTTATTCAACCTGTATATGTTCTAAGCCTCTGCATGGCCCTACAGAGCCTGCGTACTTCCTCATCCCTCGCACCACACAGCATTGCTCGCAGCTCATGTTCTGTACGATCACGGAGCAGTTCCAGAGATGATACACGAGACAACACCGACTGAAAACATACAAGTAGGGAATAAGTATAAGGTTTTTTTTTCCTAATAAAGTATACAATACTTTATTAAATTCACAATCTAGCATATTGACTAGTAAGTAAATAAATTTGACCTAAATTACTACATTAACATAATATCGATACAATAAGTATAAGGTTAACACTGAATTATACTTCTTAAAAAAATATGATTAAATATCTTGTGTATTGAGTTATTGGCCAAAGGAGACAAGTAGGTAGTATTTAAAAAAAATATATATATAGTAAAAAAAAAGATATGAACTAAGATTCTGAATTTCTTTGATAGCTGTGTATAATAAAATTAATATGCACAACAAGTTCAATACAAGCTAATTGGAGTCATTTTAATAGTGCTTGAACCCAATTTTAACTTACTTGATACAAAAGTTAGTCATACACATATAATTAAAACACAGATTTGTAATTTTTGCTATACTATCTTTGACTTATTGTTTGTTATTCTAACTTTGAGTAATAATTATCATTACAATTAGGAAATAGGTTTAATTTTACCTACCACTTCTTTAATATAAAATTAATAAAACTCCTATAAAATATTATTTATAGTGATTATTGTTATACATCACCTCTATAGCGTCAACACTGAGTCCCACAACTCTCAGCCACTGTCTCAAACTCGGCACATGTCCGAGCTCACGTTGGATCTCCTCCACAAACTGGGCCTTTATCACCAGTTGCCGAGAGAAATGCTTCACGAGCTTTCCCTGAAAATTAAATCTTCTAATTAATTCTTATATCATCATCCTACTAATATTATAATTGCGAAAGTTTGTGAGTGTGTGTGTATATTTGTTACTTATTCACGCTCAAACGTCTGAACCCATTTTGGTAAAATTTTGTATACAGGAAGCTGACATCCAGGAATAACACATAGGCTACTTTACATTACGGAAATCTCGGAAATCAGCGGGTAACACCGCGAGCCGTGGCTAATATATAAATAATCTAAAATCTAAGTCATTTTTATTCTATTTTAACTAATATTTGACTACAAAATTTTGTTGATACCAGATTACCAACTAAAGTAGATTTAGGTTGAGATTGACAATTTTATCATCATTTTCCACTGGTTTGTGTATGTATGTTTGTTATAAAAAATATAATTTGCTGGTTTAGATTGAACAAACAATCATCATTATATAACTCTGAAACAATTTGCTGACTCACATAATAGTAAGCAAATACAAATCATTTGAATAGCTTATTAATATTAATGGGTATATAAATATTTATGGAATAAACATTTATATAATATTATGTCGTTATGTAAACATGAAAAATTCTCCAATGTCTTTTTCAAATATTTTGAAGTATAATTTTTAGTTGGCATTCAGTTGTTATACAATATATTATGAAAATTTAAGATTGCAACCAGATTTCTACTACTAATATGTGTGTAAATAAAATAATTGAATTATTTAAGACGAATTCAACTAAGAATTATAGTTTAAATGTATATAAATACTCATAATTATGTCTTATAAGATATTAAAACCTAAATGCATAATTTTTACTATATACAGAAAGTATATAGTAAAAGAAAGTACTTATTTTTTACCTAAAAATATATTTGGTTCAAATCTATATATCAAATTAATAAATATTAAGGAATACAATCTACTATTGTTACTGATAAGGCATGTGAGTATCCTTAGATTCTATTGTGAGACAGAGCCATAAATATATAGTACATCACAATAAACAAGTGTAAGACCACCCAAGTACACTTCATACTATATTCTGGTTGAACAATAGAATTCGTATCATATTTGCCATGGAAGGAACCTTAACCTACTTTATCTAGCTTTAATAAGATATTTCTGAATGAAAATTATGTTGCAAATACCTTTACACCCATTTCCAGTATCAGACAACTAGAGCATTAACCATCGTTGGCAACTGAACAGCTAGAATACGTCAAATTACCTAATAGAAATATCGTAGTATGTTTATTACAACTTTCTAAAACGTATAATAGGGCTGGTAAATTTCGAGGTTGAGTATGCGCGCGACGTAACATTCTACAACGGTAGTGAACTATTCACCGTCATCCTTGGATTTCGAGGCCTTGGAGCTTGGATCTAGCAATTTGTTCAAGGGCATGTCTTGTTTCCATAACACATAGCCTATCGGTATAAGTACGGACTTCCTACCTCCAGCGTCCGGATCTCCTGCTGCGTCAGCTCCGCGCTCGTCGAACATTGTGTCCTCAAGCCCTCGAGCCTGTCTGCTGAAACGTCTATCATCGACTGAATGGTCTCTATCATCTGAATTGCATCACGGATTCTTTTTTTTTCGTTTTCGCTATCTGCATCCATTACAAATATCACAGCACTATACACAATCCTCTAATCACTACTTATATGTAAAAAACTCTTTATTCATTATAAAAAATGAATATGAGTATACAAAACATTGCAGGTGTTGTATTGCCGATACAGCGGCCATGTCCGAAGAAAATCTATATTCTTGTCTATGACCAACCACTGTCGAGGAATAGACAATCTGACAGCTGTTTATAACATTCCTACCGTAGTTTCCAAGAAGCTTTTAAATGGCAACTGTGATGTTATGTTGATTTTGACATATGCTTAGTCTATGACTTTACTCAATGGAGTAAGGACGTTTGTTGTGAGGTTTATTTCCTATTATTTCGCCTTCCGTCGTTAATTCCGTGTAATGTAATAAACTAGTTAGAAAAAAATCTTTTTACCTCACAATTAGGTAGTGGTTGTGGATTTTTTTTCTTAGGGTTTAGATGTAGAAAAAATTAGGATGTTTCTTAAAAATATATTGATACCTCTTTTCTATCTTGGAGTAGAAGGTAAATAAATTAAAATAAATTACGAAAACATGTAATAAATTTATTTAAAAAAAATACATAGTCATTATATGTGTTCTGCGTTAGTTTCACGGGTTTTTGGCGAGGAAGTGGAAATTCGGCAAGTGGCCGCAGACAAGGGAACCAATGTAACAATACCTTGTGGCGGTCTCCTGGTAGCACCACCTACCAACGTACTCTGGGTCCACAGAGGCAACCGAACACACCATGAAGTACTCGTAAGTTTGAAAAAATTAATAAACAAACATATACAATACATTTTTCAACTTATAATATGTTTTACTTTAAGAACAATAGACGTATTACAAAAGATTCAGTTATATAATATGACATATTTATAAGGCTCGAACATAATCCATAAGTGAACCAGAAGGCGCCAATACCCAAACATTATTGACTTAAAATCGACCCTGCACTTTAAATATTATCATTAATTTTATTACATAAGTTTGGCTTGTTGGGAAACACGATAATGATCAATACAACATACCTTTGGTTCAGAAAACCTTTATTTTTACATAAAAAAGTAAAAATATTTTTAATTTGACGTCAACCAAAGTAATAACAGCATAATTATATTTTTATTTTATTCATTTTCTGAAATGCAATATATTTTTTATCGAGCAGTTAATTAAAATGTTTGTGCAATTTAAATTGCACTAAAACAATATCACGAGGAAAATATAATAAAACAATAAATATAAAACCTGCTTCGTGTCAGCGATTGTTAAATATCTTGTAACACAAATACAATTTTCCGGTCGATTAAAATTTTTGGGACGAGACGGACGAGAAATTTAATTTTCTTTGAAAGACGCTCTTATTAAAACTTATCTTGTTATGAATCTCTCGAAGACTTCATTTATCAAACGTACTGGAAATTTTACAAGATTGCTAAAACGAAAATTTTGAATTTCCAACATAATATACGCATATAATGATCGTTCTGAAACAGTATCCACAAGTGTTATTAAATTAATACAACTTACGTTCAAAAACAAATAAATTATCATCCACACAGGTTTCATTACCTAAAAGTTTTAACGTTTTGTAAAGAAGTGCCTTCAAATCATGGAAATTCCATATTTGCGTGTCAATTTTTTTCTTATATTGAGAATTGAGATTTTTATCGTCATAAGAAAATAATAACTTTATTCATATAAAAATTGTTATCTATAGCTACGTATGTAAGTACTTTAACAATACGGTCGTCGGATGTGGTCGTACAGTGAATTGGAAGACGTCTTTATGACAGTACTATTTATAGATGCACGTGTATAATACAAATATGAATTTAATATAACTAAATTAAGTCTATACATCGATATTATTTCAACAAAATAAACAAAAATGTCCAAAAGTAATAGAATTGTATAAATTCTGTTAGTTAAGGTAATAGCCAATATTCGATCTTTAGACCTTGATCTGTAGTGCAGTTTTAAAATGAACTTTGAACTATGTAAACGCTAACGCCATATATGTAGTATTTTTAAATATAGAATCACATTTCATTCCTTATATTTATAAACTGTATGAATATAATCTTGTGAATTTACTTGATTTGTAAATTGTTCCAATTTCAAATCTGGTTTGTTTAGTTTTTTTTTTTTATATCGGTTGCCAGGACGTTCACATTTATATACGTAGAGGTTTTATTTATTCGAATAAAATTTATTTTATCTTTTATGACGACATATGTAAAGTCTTGTTTATTATGCAATTACATTTAGAGGTTTTTCACAATCTATGTAATTGGCTGTCTAGTGCAATGTTCGAATATTACAAAGAGGTCTTTTGTATCAAAAACCTCCCTCCGGGAGTTCGCTCATTTCGACCCCAATGAAACTATTTACACAGATAATATCAGTCATTTTATCTGATTGCTTAACTGTAGTTATACTCTGTGACAATAATTGGACATTATGCGAACTCACGCGACAGTGTTTAAAAGTGATTTCAATCATTTTTTATTCGTCATTCTCATTCCTGCTGTGAAATATAAAGTTATAAAAGTGCAAGTATTTCCCAAGTGTATTTATTGATTTCCCGCGCTCTGCCGTGCCCCCACATCCGGTCCTGAAGGCTCATTTGCATACCGACGTGATTTTATAAGGCCATTGTTGCGTGTAAAAAGTCAATTTATATTACCTGTTAAAATTTACCTTAGGTGAGGTTGTATGCGATGACCAAATATTGTTTTTACTTGCTTTGTGTTGCGTACAGATTACATTGTTTTCGTTAGCCACAGACTATTATTGGCATAACGTAATCGAATATTTAAATCCCTACTAATATTATAAATGCGAAAGTAACTCTGTCTGTCTGTTTGTTACGCTTTCACGCCTAAACCACTGAACTGATTTTAATGAAATTTGGAACAGAGATAGAGTTGACCTCGAGAAAGAACATAGGATGGTTTTTATGCCAGACTTTTGAAAGGTTCTCTTGGAAACGCGATATAACCGAACTCGACGCGGGCGGAAAGCTAGTAGAATAATAAAAATAAATTTCAATATGGTTTTTATCTATATATTTTTTTAATATAACACTATGAAGTTGTTAATCAATGTTCATTATGTAACAATAATATCCTATTGTTGTTTATATATAGTTAATTGAATATCGAACGCAGCGGATGCGAGGCAATAATCCGTTTTTGCTTAACGCTACTGTCATTTAAATTTGATAAAATATTTTCGATCGTATATTTATTTTAATGTGAATTATCCTATTCTTGCAATAGACGTGTATTAATAAATGTCTTTTCTTTTGGTTATAATAAACATTGTTCTCTTTTATTTGAAAGTTTTGTGTTTTTTTTATCCAATCGCTGTATGGTAGAAAAAGCAGAGAGTAAAGCATCATTGTATTAACGGTCCTCAAAGCTCGGCCGAAGCCTCCTCTTGAGCGTGAGAGGTGTTTTTTTAGAACTTTTGCCGTCGCTTAGTTATGAAATAAAATAACTTTTATATATACATATATATAATACATAATCTTTATTATATTACTAGTTTTTCAGAAGCAAATAAAGATAACTTATTCATAATTACAAAGATATATATATATATTTTTATTGAATTTTTTTATTGAAGCGTTTTTTTCAAATATCTTATTTAGAAATAATATTAGTAGACGTAATAGAAACAAATAAAACAGCAGTAAATATCAAGTAATTAATATTAATATTCTGTATAACTCTTTGCCTCTAAGTGTTGTCAATTCAAAATCTCTAAATATATTTAAAAAATGATTTAGAACCCATATATTATATTAGATGATTTCACTGGTCTTGTTTAATATCACTACTGTTTATTATTTGTAATTTTAATTGTAGTTATAATTTTTGAAATTTCCTTTGTAAACGAATTTTGTTCTTTTTGGAAATAAACTTCTTTAAATCTAATATTAATTTCTATTAAAACCTTCTTCGTATGTCGATATTCAAAAACCTAGTATCCAATACAGTTTCTTTTTATTATACGTCTGTCTTTTCTGAATTCGATTGGTATTTTTTTCAGTTCCAGCTGACAGTTTCACCGGTTGAAACGAAATGTATCTTTTACTTTTTATATTCGAGCTGTTCTAAATTGAAACTGAATTCTTTTCTTTATACATGTATATACTTCTTTATATATTTTGGTGTTTTTTTATATGTACTTAATATTAAGTAATGAAACCGGTAACATACATTTCAAAATTTCATTATTTGTTAAAATTTCTTTAGAGTTCCCAATAACTTACAATTAATTAAATGAAACTAATATTTTTCGTACTTTATTATTGCATACATACTCCCTGGCCCGTGATCACGGTTGCTGAAAAGTAATCGAAACATCGGGAATATGTCGTTTTTACAATAATGAAATACGCGTTGTATAATTCGAAAAATATTAGTTAATAGTTTCATTTAAATGAACACTCACGAAAGCTAATTAAAAACTGAAATGATGGACATTTAGTCATATTAATAACTTTTTAAAGATTATATCTACAATAGATTTATTAGGTAACAGGAATAGTCAGGGTATATAACTCTCTTTGGTACAACCTTAACTGCTCTCGCGTGAAATAAAAGACCTTTGTGGTCCAGAATTTCTGTCATAGAAATGTCACGTCTTTTAACAGACGTCAGAGGTAATTCATTTCTCTTGTAGGACATATATGAAGAATATAAGGTTTCATATTGTATTCGAAACTATTTTTGATATTAATAATTCATATGTATATTTTAATTTCTTTCTTTTTTATATTGGATTGAATTTGAAGAATGTAACGTTCAGAAATACAGCAATATTACGAAAAACAAAAGTCTGCTGGAGTTTTTTTTATAATATTTTTTACGATTTCTAAACGTTATTTCTTCTAGAATTATAAGAAGACAAACAACTCGTACAAACAATGTCATTTTCAGAATCAACCAATTGAATAATTCTGTTACCCAATTTTCAAGAATACACGAGCACTTGCATAGCTCTCTGTACTATATCTATCTCTATATTTTTATATACGTGAGAGCGAGACGAAATATTAATGGGGAATACGAGTTGATTATCTCCAATTCAGCGAGTGTCAGTACAAATCAGATTTGACCAGATTGCACCGGATTCACCCTCGTACTAACAGTGGCATATAGGGAACGGTCGTGAAAAACTTACGATAGTAATAAATCCAAATAAATCCTCAAATATATTTGCCAAGAAAACCTCATTTCTATAGACTATCATGTTGATTCCAAATTAAAAAATAATAATTTTTTGATACAAAATTTTGTCATCAAATTTTTTGCACTCGATCAACGAAAAATACATAATTATCCGCCTCATACTACTAGCATCGTAGTTATTCATGACTTTATATATATAAATATGATGTATAGTAATAATATACATTGATTTAAGTCCCCCCAAAGGTTTCCAACAGCAGTTCAGTGTTCAGCTCGCTATGACAAGGTCGGATGCATTAATAAAGACACAATCTACGTCTGCGATTGGCCTGACGCGCTTTGAACATTTCACTGGCCATCTCGATATATTTTTATACGTACACAAATTTTAATACGAAATAATTTCTGATTATATTCATGAAAAATTAATCAAAACCTTTATATTAGTCTAGTCATAATCTATTCAAAAAGTAATAACATATTTGTCAAGCCGAATGGAAAGTCGAATCGCAAAAATCTTTAAACCAACATATACATATGTACATGTATATCCCT